GAAGTTTTGGTAACTGGGTTTCAAACAGCGCTCTGCAGGGGAAGAGGCCAAGCAACAGAGCAGCGTCAGCCTGTGTTGCTCCATTAGCATTGGCCTCGAAATGACTGAGCCTGTAGTCTTGCTGGTGCTTTTAACTTCACATAAAGTGCACTGAAGATATTAAGTTTAGTAAAAGGAGGAGGGCTGATTCGTAATGCAGAGCTGTCTTGTGTCTGTGGTCACTCATGTCCTGAGTTTATACCACAATAATAACTGCAGCTATCTATAGAAACGAGGGTGCAGTAATGAGGCTTACCATTCGAGTGACCGACCAAGTTACTCAGTCAACCAAATCCTCTCCGCTTTTTATTTCCCCGGATATTGAAAGAGTCCAGGCCAGCACAAAAGCATGCGCTCTCCCCTCCCCTCTCTTTGAGCCCTTCACCCCAGTAGTGTGTGTAGATTGTCTGCATTGTGAGGGAATTGATATTGGGAAGAGTGGGGACATGCAGACTAGGCCGACTGGGCAGATTTGGCACAAGATTAAGAGGCGCTGGAATGTGTGAAAAGGAATTCCACTTACAGAGGAAAGGAAGTGTGTTAGAGTAAAAACCGAAAGACGAGGGGTTATGGGAAGAATAGACGAGGGGTTTAGTGATGGTATGTAGTTTAACTTCCTCTATCTAGCATACTTGGAGATGTGTGGGTCCATTGATTAAATGCCTCTGTAGGCGAGCTGAGACCTGATCAAGTTGGTTCAGCCCTTTTTGTTTTTGTTTCTCAACTCTTCGTCTCTGCAGAGAGTACACCCGTAGTTTTAAACAATGAACCTGGCCTTACTTGAATGATTTAGGAAAAACATGGAGTTGAGTGTCTGGGGTTTCTCTATGGTCTCTTGCACATTAAATGCACCCAGTAAGAGGAAGGTTGAATTAGTTTGTGTGTGGGTGTGTGTGTGGAGCAGGAGGAGCCTGTTCTGTCTGTGGTCTGATGGCATGATTGGAGGGAAACTGTAAGCTAAATGGAGTCAGTTGACAGGAACACTGCAGCCTCTGTGAACATCAGGCTTCAGCTCACTGCACCTACAGTGAAAACGTTACTCACACACAGAACATACAGTTTACTCACATGTCTGACAAACACACACACTTCTTGGGTACATTTTAATTAGTTTATGTGGAGTGATGTGAGGCCCGCAAACATCAATATTCAACCCTGTGAATTTACAGTCTCTTCCAACGCACATAAACACACTCGTAAACACCCACCGACGCTAATATACATGAACACACAAATATGCATGTTAACGTACTGCTCTATCCCCAGGCACACACACATGCTGAGTCCTACTGTAGCCACAGTTCTTGGGAACCTAAAGCAAAGTAAAACTAAGACTCTGTAAACAGTAGTGTGTGCTGACTTAAAGACCTACAGCACTGGGTCTTCTCTCTCGTGAGTTTCTGCACATTGCACAAGCATAGCATACATACAAACACACATCCTGAGGCACATTAACACACACTTGAGTGGAATATAAGCTAAACAGGGCGATGCCGATAAGACAAAGCAGAGCATTTTACGATGCTCCACACACTCACTGTGCCTCTCGTCTTATACACACACACACATTGCTCTCTGTCAAAGGTTGCTCATGGGTGACGGGGCTTCACTCACTGTATAATAATGAGGGATATCTCAAATAAGTACCTGCACCACAGAACCCATTTCACACTAGCTTAAGTTGGGCACATTGTGGATGTTTCACATACTCAGTCCTCCCTGTGTGAAACCTTATCATAGTCCAGCAGAATATGTGCAGCTGTGTCTGGTCTCATAGCTGTCTTAACCACCATTAATGTAAGTTACCTAATACTTTCCTTTTATGCAATTCAGAAGAGTTTAAGAGGGAACATGGCTGCAGGCTTGACTCACGTTGGCACATAAAATCTGACGTTTGAGTTGCCGAAGGTGTTCTTAAAATTGGCATCAACAATTGAAGCACATAAATAGAGAGCGCAGACTAGCCCAGTCTTCTGTGATATTCAAATCTACAAGCACAACTACTATGTATAACCACTATATAGATCAATATATATACTAATATATGAATATATGTCTGCATTACAATTGAGTATTTTGTATCCGCCTTCTGGATCCGCTCCAATTTAATGGGTTCTTCCTTGGCCCAGGCTACACTCTTCCACCAAGTTTCATGTAAAGCGGACCAGTATTTTTTCCATAATCCTGCTGACAGACAAACAAACAGCACTATAAACATATCCTCCTTTGCAAAGGTAATAATCTGATGGTGGTTTGCAAATGGGTTGTGCTTACTGGTAGGTCGCTATAACTGCTCTTGAGACCCCACACTGCCCTCTGCTGACATGGTTATCATTTACCCTCCTCCACTCGCACTCCTCTCTGCTCCACTGTACTAAATCCTCCCTGTTTACAGCTTCACTCCCTTCCTTAAGCAAACAACTCTCACAAGGGCTCTCATTAAAACATCCCAGTTGCACAGTTATAAAGGAAACGTAGCATACTGGGTCTCACCAACGTGTGTCCTCACTGGTTACACACACATACACACACACACACACACACACACACAAGCAGAGTCCTGTAAAAGCTGCCTGAGTGACTGAGCAGACTGCTGTGGTTCACTAATACAATGAAGAGACAGTGGCGGTACACTAAATCCCACTGCTCCCATTTGTTATTCCAATTGACCCATTGACCCGTATAACACTGCTGGTTCTCCATTGTTTAATTTGAAAGTACACCAGTCGGTGGGAAACAGCACGGGCATCAAATCCAGTTTTCATTGATAAAATTTGTTATTGACTGTTCTAAACAAAGAAGAGATTTAATACATGTCACTCTTATATAAAATGTCAGTATTTGATTGGAGACGTAAAGCTGGTCTGCACAGCATCACTGTTGTTTGCTAGGAAAACAGCGACGGGTCTGTCTGCGAGCGGCCTCTCAGGAGTGAATGGCCATCTTTGTGAGTGTTCATAACTACTTGTTCACAGACATGATTGCATTACTGTCCAGCTTTCTCCTCATCACTGATCGAGCTCTGGATGATATCACAAAGAATGCACTGATGCAAAAGCTTTTATTAGGTGATTGGTTTAGCCTGGAAGGAAGAACTGTCCATTAGCAGTAATATGGCGTTGCAAACTTTGGTATGAGAGTACTGCCTCGCCGTGGGAAGAAAAACATGACGCCTCGTCAGCATTTGTTGGCATTTAACATATATTGTTTTGAAGTGTGTTCTTGTATCTGCAGCATGAGTCTTCAGGTGTGTGTGTTTTTCAGCTCGCTGTTTCCCTGAGAGACTTTCAGTCTACGAGTGTCACCTGTTCTGCCAGCCAGGGTTGTCTACCCTCCTGGGGGCCGGTTCCCATCTGGGCTCAGTCACGTGGTCGCCCACAGCTCCTGTTTCCTGTTCCTGTCATCTGATACCTGTCACCTGGTACTCAGGGAGCCAACACCCTCTTTGTCTCTCTCTGGCTCCGTCCTTTCCTGTACTCCTGTCCCCCCCCCGATTTCACTCTCCATCAGGCGTGGACGCTAGTATGAACTACCAGGCAAATGTTGGGAAATTTTGGGAAAGTACTGACAAGCTCTGTCTCGCACTGCCAGCAAACCATGAGCTGATTCTGGGAAAAGAAACCTTGTTGCTGTAGCCACCTCCCCATCCAAAGACAATACACATAACTAGTTAAAAGCAGGAAATGTCTGTCATCGAGGAACAAGAGTCGAGTTGAACTGCAGCATTCTTCTCTTTGGCAGCGTAATTGTAGAGCTGTCTCCCAGTATGTTGTACTGAGTGTGTAGAGTGTGTGTGTGCATTCACACTTAAGTCAAGCAGAAACATGACAATTCAGATCAAAGAAGGTTTTCTGTTATCTGATTTTACAACAGGTTTATGCAACAGGAAACAGGAGTGTAACAGCGCTACATTAGTTTGAAAAAGTAAATACCGGTGACACGGAGGAGCAAGAATTTTGAAATTGTCTAGTATATTAATCTCTGGTAATTGACACACAAGGCTTGTTTTCAGCAGCGGGCCTTGCCGACAGCCTGAGGTTTAATTTGAATTAAGGTTTAGGCTCCAAGCTTGCAGACGTCTGTGCACTCTATGTTCAGAAAGCATCCCTGAATAATGAGTTTATACAAATTCCTACCCAAGAAAGCCCATGTCGGCAAGTTTCTCAAGAGTCTTCCTCCCTTACTCTGAAGAGTTGACTGGCTTTTGACAGAGCAGACAGTGGGTCCTCTGTGGGCTGCAGAACCAGGGACTGATTGAGGGGTTAATAACTGCATAGTTTTGGCCTTACTGTTGCTGTTCCCTGCCAGCTTGTCTTGTCTGTCCATCTTAACAGCAGATGACACACAGAAACGCACACAACGTGGCTGGCGGAGGAATGTTTCTGAAAGCTGTGCTGTCCAACAACCAGGCTCTTGTGAAAGCACTTGGCATGGCCACAGCCGCAGCACTCTCCTCAGCGATGCTATCGAAAGCCACTTTGTTTGGCTGGCGTTGCCATGGCGAGGAGGAGTTTTCGGGAATATGACGATGGAATGTTTTTAAACTGGTTCTTGAGGGCCCTCATTTGAATAGACAGGATGGTTTGTGTGTGTGGTTGTGGTTAAAGCAGAGAGAAACGTCTGCAACATTTGAAACATTATTCAGTTGATTGAATCGATATACAAATTATATTGATTATCGATTCATCCTTTTTAGTAATTTTTCAAACAAAAATGTGACTATCTGCTGCCTTTGTCTTGTCTTTGGACTGTTTGTCTGCCCAAAAAAAGCCATTTGAAACACTTCGGGCTCTGGGAACTTAGACGAGCATTACTCATTAAGCATTTGCAGTGTGGTAAATCAGATAACATCACTTCTGTTTATGGTTTATAGATTTGATTGTTGAACATTGACCCACAGTGCATCTTCAAAAGTATTTGATGTTCTGTTTTGTTTAACACATTATCATGTGTCTCCACAGCCTTTCTTCAGACTACTGAACCTCCGGAAGCTCGGCCTGAGTGACAATGAGATCCAGAGACTCCCTCCTGAGGTGGCTAACTTCATGCAGCTGGTGGAACTGGACATCTCCAGAAACGGTACATGAAACACATACACAAGTTCACTGTGCAGTTGTGTCGGTTGCTCTACGCGCTCTGCTTGTTAGACCACCCATTAACACACAATTACTTCAATGACGCGTTTAACATAACCTTCCGCTCTTGTCTAGACCAACCCCAACAACACAAAACAACAAGGGTGGCTATGTCTGTAAACATGATATCTGCCATGTGGTCTTAAGCAGTGGGGGCATAGCCAAATCTGTGTGAGAATAAACATACTAGCAGCAGCCATTAGATAAATATTAGCTGGCCCTCTTTGCCAGATTGTACAGTCTACCCTAAGGCACAGCAGACATTCATACATTAATTTCTGTTCACTTGGAAAATCCATATAAGACGAGAAAAGAAAGAAATTCAGCACCACAATGTAGCCAAAGGTAATATTTCATACTTGATAGAGAGACGTTTAATTTGGGATGAAATATCTGCAACTCATCACCTGAGAGAGACACACACACACACACACACACACACACACACACACACACACACACACACACACACACACACACACACACACACACACACACACACACACACACACACACACAAAAATATGCCCTCTCTGTGTCCTTGCGTGCTGCACACTGTTCACTGATACTCCGCGGCCGGAAGGGCCTATATGGTAGATATTAGACATCTGCTCTGCTACACACTGCATCAAGTGCTGTAGGAACAGTGTGCAGTGGCCTGTAAGGGCCTTTCCCATCTGTCTGCCTGTCTGCTCCTGCTGCAGGACAGTGCTGAGCCAGATAAGCGTCATAGGCTGCTTGGCTCAGTAGGGATTTCTTAACCTGCACCTGCAGGATCCAGTAGTAGTTATTTACCTAGTTATTTAAGTTATTTACCTGGTCAGGTCAGTAGGTTGCATTTCTTCTTGTGCCTTATGCAGTATATCTACACCAGACATAAGGTTAAGCTGACTTTGTGTCTTTAGCATTTTAAGCTATTTGTTATTGTACAAACTAATATGCGGTAAGACGCAGTCATCCACCTGCCTTGCAATGAGTGAGTTAAGAAGCAATCTATTTTACACCAAAATGAACCATTGCTTTTATGCTACAAGCAATATGTTTCTTTGCCCTTGCAGTACAATATACCTATTATCACACAAATCTGACTACTTTTCTGCATAGTTTGAAAATGTGGTGGGACTTTGAAAGACAGAAGAGAGTCAAAATAGATTAACGGTTGTATAATTAAAGACGCCTTAACCCATCCATCTGTAAATGTATATGTTTTATCTTTGTCTCACAAATATGTTTCCCTTTAATCTCCCTTAATTTTTGCATTTTACCATACATGGGAACACCACTCCATTAAGACTGAGTACATAGCAATAAATGCATTATTGTTCTTTAAATTTTACTTGATGGGGTGAAAATAAAGATGTAATATTACACATTGACCAAATCCTCCATGGTACAACTTCCATCTCTTTCTGTCTCATTTCTCCCTTCTATTTCTCTCACTTGCCTGCTCCCAGCCATCTGGTTGTTATTACAAGGAACTTAAAATGATTTGCTCCATAGAATAAGACCCCCACACCCCCCCTGCACTCTACATCTGTGTGTCCATGGTGCTGACTCCTGTCTCCCCCCACCTCCTCTTCTTCTCCTGCAGACATTCCTGAGATCCCCGAGAGCATTAAATTTTGCAGGGCCTTGGAGATCGCAGACTTCAGTGGAAACCCCCTGTCCAGGTAAGTGAATGGGAACAGGCCATCACTCTATTCCACATCACTGTGAGAAAATGTGATGTTTGGCCAAGTGCAACAAGGGGGAGAGAAGCAGCTTTGTCATTTGTGTGCTCTAATAACTTTTCTGGCCTGTTTCAAATGTGCTGTGAATCGTATTGCGCACATACCTGTTTTACAGTGTGCACTTAATACTGATTTCTAGACTTCTAGAATTATTCAGTTGTTAAGAAATACTTATGCACAGTACATGCCTGGAGGAGATCACGCTTTGTGTGACAATGTGCTGTCTGATCAAACAAGGCAGTGAACAGTGAAACATAAGTGTCACGTTAACCTAACCTGGATACCAGTTGATCTCTATATATCCCTTTACATATGCACTGCTGTCTGAAGTAGAACGTTTCTTCTTCCCCAATCAGTGATGTCTAAGTTGATATTTCACCTTTTAACTTCCTCCTATAGAAAAGCAATGGAAAAACTGGCAAGAGCTTTGATGCTGAATGCTTTAACAGATGGGCCGATCGTCGTGTGTGTGTGTGTGTGTGTGTGTGTGTGTGTGTGTGTGTGTGTGTGTGTGTGTGTGTGTGTGTGTGTGTGTGTGTGTGTGTGTGTGTGTGTGTGTGTGTGTGTGTGTGTGTGTGTGTGTGTGTGTGTGTGTGTGTGTGATCTCATGCATTGTATAACAAGAGTCTCTCTCCACTATTTCCCTCCTATCTTTCTGCTTCAGATTACCAGATGGCTTCACTCAACTACGAGCACTGGCCCACTTGGCACTCAACGACGTGTCATTGCAGACGTTGCCCAACGACATTGGAAAGTATGTACACATGCACAATGGCTCATAGTAGATCATTTGATGGTGTAAAATGTGTTTTTATATCTTGAATATTTAAGGAAACTGCGGCCATGTCTTCGTCAGTGATTGAAAATGTCATATTTATTTATGGTACAGAACCCATAAACTTGGTTGTAGTTATCAAATACATTTTGTAACTCTGCTCCCAAATAATGTAGAATAAATTATCACTAATAATCGTGAGTTGAGCTGAAATGATTCAGCAACAATTTTGATTAATGATTTTTAATCAATCACACTTAATCACAGCAAAAATACTAAACATTGTCTAGTTCTAGGTTTTAAAAAGTGAGGATTTTCTGCTTTATATAATTTTATATTAAATATCTTCTGGATTTTTAACTGTTGGTGAGACAAAATAACAATTTTAAAAGATTATTTGGGCTCTGGGAAATTGTGAAAGGCAAACAAACGTTTCTGATGATCTAAAGAAATAGTTAGTTGCAGCCCTAATTGTAAATTCTGCTACTTGAGAAACAGCCAAGATTATAATTTTTGTCAAAATTATAAAATGTCTCTACTCAAGCATTTTACTCAATTAGATCCTTGATATATTAGGAGCCTGAGCAGGTTTGAAGTCATTCTGTTGCCCAGTGGGCTCTGAGGCAGCCGGTTTTTGGGGCTCTGGGCCACTGCTGTGCTCAGACAGATGGAAGAGCCCCTCACCATGCCAAGCAGCCCAGACGAACAGACCTGCCATCTGACTAACCAACCTGCTTCTCCCATCTCCTCTCTCTTACTCCCCCATCCTCTCTTCTCGTCTTCTCGCCGCCTGCCAACTCCTACCCCTCTTTCTCTTTTACTTGCGTCCTTTTCCCTTCTTCTTTTGTAGCCTGGCCAACCTGGTGACGCTGGAGCTCAGGGAGAACCTGCTGAAGTCTCTGCCCACGTAAGTGTCATCTCCCTCCAGCGCACATATGCATCAGGGCTCGGTCTTGAATTCCCCACCATCTCTCTTTATTGTGCCTGCTGACAATGCAAGATAAGATAAATGATCCCACAGTGCAGGAGGAATTGTCACTGCTGTTTCACCTTTACTTTGATTTGTGTAGCTCAGCACTATACTCACCACAAGCTTTAGTTAGAACCTCTCTCACTTATAAACATGGGTTTAAAAACATTATTTGCATGTGTCAGTACATATGAATGAATGGTATGTTGTAATTGTTGGCAAAGCTCTGCTCTTTGGTCTTTCAGGGCGCATATTTGTGTGACTTACTGCATGTGCAATTTTGTGTATGTATTCAGGTCGCTCTCTTTCCTGGTGAAACTGGAACAGCTGGACCTGGGCAGCAATGAACTGGAAGTTTTGGTAAGTCAACAACTGAACCATAAAATACACTATACAGTAGATGATTCATTCCACTGCCAGGTGCTCAAGCGAACACCCTCAGTTGTGCGTTTAAAATAACTTACTTTGAAAGACACACAGAGTGACATGTATTGTCAGATTTTCTTCTCACATTCCCACCACAATAATTATGATCTAAACCACACATTTACCTCACCACACACAGCAGAGCCGGTCTGTCAGACCTGAGGCCATGCATGTATTGTACCCAACAGTGAATGCTGTTTTAAACCTGGGAACGCCCACCTGTCTCAATAAGACAGGGTAAACAATACCTCATAACCTGAAAAGGGCGGAGGCTGAGCAAATAGTTGACATGAAACCTTGCCTGCCTGTCATAAACCACAGCTTTACTGACATCCTCCTTAATTTCATTTAGCACTTAGACTTGAATTTGTTTTGATTTTGGGAGACTTTAGCCCAATTGAGCCCAGGATTGCAAACAAATACATATTTACTGAATGGATTTGGCAGCTTCAGCTCAAGTATGAGGGATAACAGATCCCAAAAGAGAAGCGTTGTAATGAAAGATCCTGTTTCTTTAAGTTATTGACCGATAGAAAATCAGATAAATCGATTTAACTGCATCTTGCAATAGTCATACTAGAATTTGGAATCAATGTTCTACTACACACTGACATTAAAATACCCTTTGATAAGTTTTCAAATGGAGCAGATTTTCACTCACTGTTGCATATCCTGATTAGAGCCAGCAGTCCCTGGCTTTGCAGAGCAGTTATTAACAAATATAATCAACCTGCTTTTTCTAATACCCAACTGCCCCCAATGTGCTCCCTCCTCTCCTTGTCTCTACTTCTATCTGACTCATAGCCAGACACCCTTGGTGCTCTCCCCAACCTGAGGGAGCTATGGCTGGACCGTAACCAGTTGTCCTCATTACCACCAGTAAGTACACTTCAATACAAATGTTTTTAAAAGCTGCCTTGTTGCAAGAACTAAATTTTACAAAATTACATTACACATATGCAGAATTAATTCCCAATAGCAGATTTATACCCCTTGTTTATGCTGTGAAGGTAATGGTTGTATTGTGCCGCTGTGGCTCACTGCAAGTGGTATTTATTTTGTGTGTGTGTTTGTGTAGGAGCTGGGGAACCTCCGGAGACTGGTGTGTCTGGATGTGTCAGAGAATCGTCTGGAGGAGCTTCCCTCAGAGCTCAATGGCCTCCTGGCTCTCACTGACCTGCTGCTCACACAGAACCTGCTGGAGGTCGTCCCAGACAGCATAGGTGAAGAGAGAGAGGGGGGAGAGGAGAGAGAGAGAGAGCGGGGGGAGAGGTACAAGAGAGACATGAAATTAAATCCAGGAAGTCTTCTTTGAATAACAGATTACGTTTAATGGCTTATCAGATGGTAAAAGGTGCCAGAAAAGTTTGCAACAGTCACAGATGGCATTTTACAGCTCTGAAAAGTTATCAAAGCGGCTTCTATTTTATCTGTCATCTCAACAGTTGCAAGGTAAACAGTAGAAATCTAGTGGTCATGGTACAAAGTAATCCACCAGGAATGTATGCTTGCATGTATTTGATTGGCCAACACAGCGCCTTGCCAGATGTTGGATTGCAAAAGTTGAATCTGGCCCAACCTTTTTGCCGGAAGAAGACCTTGAACGCAGCCTTAGAAAAGAAGGTTTTGAAAGTCAAGCAATAAAATTATGGCAGAAATTGCATCTGACACAATAAATGAATTAATTATGAGATAGCAACATCTATTGTAACCTCCTCACATTACATAACAGTCGCTCCCCTAAAAAATGCTATTTAATAAATATTGTTGTGTTCTCTCAAACAGCAACACAATAAGAAATTACACCAATATTAAGTGACATAAAAGAACTTCAATATTAATTAGTGTGACAAAAGATCTTCTGTCCTTGTGCAGTCTGTGGACAAAGTGACTTTTTTGGGTACTAATCTAATTAGGTAGGACTGGATTAAGTAAACCTGGGGCAGACCCAGTGTGTGTAGGAGACAAACTGTTAAATAAGAACAACACTGACCTCTACTGGAATAATAATGCTAGTGAAGTGTGGCACAAGTAGTAACAACTGTAATTTGTCTGCTTTTAATTGAATGAATTTTATTCCAAAGTATGGGTCCATATTAAAAAAAGAGCACAACATGTCACTAGTAGTGTTTGGGTCTTATTGCTACAATTAGTATACTGATGTTGTATTGTGTTCTGTGTCTAGGTTGCCTGAAACAGCTCTCCATCTTCAAGGTGGACCAGAATAGACTGACCAACCTCACTGATTCAATAGGAGAGTGTGAAAACCTCACAGAACTCGTCTTGACAGAGAACCTTTTACAGGTAGGAGGATAAAACCATTTACAGCAGCCTTTCACTGACTATGTATGCCCCATAATACTCAAGCCCAATTAACGGTCATTATCACGTGTGCCGATTGTTAATGTTTTCTATCTCGCTCCCTCAAAGTCACTTCCTCGCTCGCTGGGCAAGCTGAAGAAGCTGACCAACCTGAATGTAGACCGCAACCGTTTGGGCAGCGTGCCCAAAGAGCTGGGAGGCTGTGCCAGCCTCAACGTTCTCTCATTGAGAGATAACCGCCTGGGAAAACTGCCTGCTGAGCTTGCAGATGCCACTGAGCTGCATGTGCTGGATGTGGCTGGGAACAGGTAACCTTACTTAGCCCCCTGAACTGTAAATAATACACAGCAGGTATCCGTGTTAATGTTAAAGATTTAAATTAAATGCCAAAATGGCCTTTTTAGGGTTACCAGCATCCAACCAGGAGTCACTGCTCCTCCAATTTTGCCCTTTTTAATGTGATCAGGACAATATAATCTCATGTAGATGTATTTTCAAAACTATAGTGCTAAGTTATGTAAATGTATGTATCGGAAAATTCAAGCAAATGCATCATTGTGAAAGGGTCTTTTGGGTAATTTGCAAAAGGTTATAGAGAGAGCAATGTTTCTGCAGTAGTATGAAGGTTATTCCTGTGATTTATTTTTTTCTCTGAGTTCATTTATCACTTCACATGATATATGAATGCTCAAATGATAAAATTATAGAGTTTTGTGATCATCAATTTTATCCATTTAGAATTACAAAAGTATAATGTGGATGATATTTTACACTGTAAAGGAAAGATTCTGGCTCATCATACCTCATCCCGTCTTTTGTCCAGATTACAAAACCTGCCTTTTGCCCTGACAAACCTCAATCTGAAGGCCATGTGGCTCGCAGAGAACCAGTCTCAGCCAATGCTCAAGTTCCAGACAGAGGATGACGAGCGCACAGGAGAGAAGGTGTTGACCTGCTATTTACTGCCCCAGCAGCCTTCTCCGAGCCTAGGTGAGTAATCCTACATGCGTCATTTATCAGACATATATAGGAAAAGTCTTTTGTGCATGTGGCATACCCCGATATCACCGTGAAAGTATGTTTTTGCTTAATTTGACATTTTATTAGAAATCTATTCAACAAATTAATACTTAAATCTGTTATTTTGATCGAAAAAACTGCTAGGAAACTAAGATTGTAGTATGTACGATGCCTAACTTATTCGCTATACTAACTGGTAGGAAATGTATCTCATATTTAGAGCTTTACAATTAGTGTTTGTATAGTTTTTGTTTTAGCTTGTAAAACCACATATGTATGTATGTGACTTTACGGAATGTGTTCTTGTAGCTGTACATTTAAAAGTAATCCACAGCTCTAAGCTCAGTTTGACATCTTTCTCTCCTACCCAATTTCCCTTGGTTTTCCACAGAGAACTTGCTGCAGAACAGTGTAGATGACAGTTGGACAGACAGCAACCTGAACCGAGTGTCAGTCATTCAGTTCCAGGAGGAGACCAAAGCTGAGGATGAGGACGATGAGGCAGCTGCAGAGCGCAGAGTGAGGAAACAAAACAATACAGTGTCACTTCATGTCCTCTTCATGTCATTTTGCCCAGATCATTTTCATGTTTTGCCCTCCTACCTATCAGCACTGATTCTGTAAATCTGTTTGTCACTTGTTTTGGCTAATCGTGATTGAAAATTGAACTCTTAATTCATGTTTTTAACCCTGTTTTCTTTGTTTCAGGGCCTTCAGCGCAGAGCCACACCGCACCCTAGTGAGCTGAAGGTGATGAAGAAGGTGATTGAGGAGAGGAGGAATGAAGCTTACACATCCAGACCTGATGGAGAGGAAGAGTCCCACGATCCACAGGTACGTACTTCATACTGTATAATGATTGTCAAGTCTGACAGCAGCTATCGTTTAAAGATTTTTATTGTCTATCTGGCTTTTGACTTGAATCACCTTGTACTCTAGTACTCTAGGAAGTAGACAAAAAACAGTTATAAACATAAATGTTACATCACTGATCCTGAATTAATCAAACTGATGGTTTTGGTTTTAGGAGAAGCGGCTCAGTGACCTGTCCAATCAGAGCCATGACTCCCAGGTGTCAAATAGCACACTGTCAGCCACCTCCCATGAGGACAGACACAATGTGACTGTGGCCTCGCAGAGGGAGGACCTAGTAGATGGCCACTCCCCTCAGGAGGAGGAAGAGCTGGATGAGATGGAGGTGGAGTATATTGAGGTGAATATTTAAATATTTTATCCACAACATTGTGAACATCTGTATATTTTCACTTGGTTAAAACATCAAAACATACACAACTTACCATTTGACCTTCAAACTGAAAGAAGCTGTTCCCCCTATTGATAACTAATTATATCTCAACCCCCTCTGTTTTCCAGCCCACTGTGCACTTTGCAGAGGAGCCCATCATCCGTGGTGGGGATGAGGACGACGAAGATGATGGGGAAGATGGCGAGAGGAGTGAAGGAGAAGACGAGAGGCCGACTTTTCCCACAGAGAAGCAGCGTCTGATCAGAAAGGACACGCCACACTACAAGAAGCACTTCAAGATCACCAAGCTGCCCAAGCCCGAGGCCGTGGCTGCCCTGCTGGAGGGCTTCAATCCTGACAGCCTCAACTCTCCGTCAAAGGCCGCCGAGGACGATCAGGACGAGGAGGAAGAGCAAAGTATATGCACCCCTCAGCACCATCACAGAACAGAGGAGCTTGACGACAGCCGACTCCAGGTCAACTCCAGTCAAGTAAAGGTAAAGGAGAGATCCCAGCAGTGGTAGGGTGCAGTGCAGGAACTTGGAGTAGTTGAGTAGAAATTGTTACATATTATGAGTAAAAAAAGCATTATTTTCCTCTACTGCATTTGCACACATATGTAGAAATATAGGAAATATACAAGTAAGTGGTGTAGCAGGACACACAGTATGCAGAGATGTTGTAACAACACACACCAAATCAGTTAATTAACTCATTTTATGCTTAAAATGTTCTATTGATGTTTTAAGAATATATCTGAATCAATATATTTTTTGCTTGCTCATAGCCTCTATGCAGAAACTTTATGCATAGAGTGCCCTTACCACCTTGCAAGTTGCATTCAGTTTGAAGCACTTATTAAGGATGTGGCATTGCATGCAGGGTCACTGGAAATGAAGATGTCTAGCCTTGAGCTGTAAATCAGGGGCAGTGCTTTCCTCAGGAGTTGATTTTGTGGTTTAACCGCAAACTCGCCAACAGTCTCGCCTGCTTTTTCTTTGCTGTGTTCCAAAGATGAGATGTCCTTCACCACATACAAACACTCAGATGTCATAAGCTGATAACACTTTCTAATGCCTCACATCATTCAGGTTACTTTGACGCATACCCAACAAAAATATACATTTATTGTCTCGTACAAATGAAAGAGAAATTTAATTTTAAAGCCTCTTTTGCACAACACTGGCCCAGTTCAGTACTAAACTTCTCACCATATGTATCAGCCATCTCCTAAATTTAATTGAATAATGACATTTTCACACTCTGCTCTTATAACGTGTGTGTGTGTGTGTGTGTGTGTGTGTGTGTGTGTGTGTGTGTGTGTGTGTGTGTGTGTGTGTGTGTGTGTGTGTGTGTGTGTGTGTGTGTGTGTGTGTGTGTGTGTGTGTGTGTGTGTGTTTCTAAGTATGAATGGAGTGAGTGAAGTCTGCTCCTGTTCCACTTATGACAATGAATCTCCTTATTGATCACTAGTATTTGATTTATCACACTGATTGTAGAAATCCCTTTTTAACACTGTGATCAGACATCATCATCTCACCAAATCTGTTTTGTGTGTGTTTTATGAATGTGGGTCTGTTTGTGTGGCTGACCTCAGACCACCCAGAACATATTGGCAGAGCTGGAATCGGAGATCCAACGAGTCTTTTTGTGTCATATGATAATAATCTTATTTTATGGGATGTTTAAATTATTGTAGAGAGTAAAAAGCTTCTTTGTTCTTGCAAATAAAATTCAGCAAGACAGATTTATTTTCAGTATTGCCCTGGTTTTCTTAAACCTTTTTTGTTGAACTTTATGTAAATGACTTTTGGAAAGTCATCTTGTAGGCTCAGAGTGTACTATAACCATCTACATTTTTTTTTTTTTTTTTTTAAACAAAAGTAGGCCTGTTGCCTAAATTAAAGCTTGCTACTGGAGGAGCTGGCTGTCTGTGGTGTGGAGGCTGGGCTTATTCTGGTACGGGAGCTTTTGCCTTCTCTTGTGCGCTCTCTACACTGTGTGTTTTGCACTGTAGCTCAGCTCCTTGGTCTTGTCTTTCCATCTCTGCCTGTATTTGCTTCTGGTGGCTGGGGAGTGAGTGTGGGATTGCATCTGCTTCAAGGTGGTCCATCCCAGTGGACTTGGAAGTCCCCCCAACCTGCAAACAGACAGTGGTGTGTTTGTGTGATGTTTGTGGAAAGTGTGAGAAAGTTCTTTTTTCTTTTTCTTTTTAAGTGTGCGTGTGAGCATACTTTTATTTTGGCCTGACTAATCCGCATGCCTCTCGCTGGTTCCTGTCCTAACAGGGGGTGTCATTTGATCAAGTCAATAATCTGCTGATTGAACCTGCTCGAATTGAGGAGGAAGAGGTCTGTACATACTCTTTCCCGTCCGGTCTGTCTCTCTGTGTCCCTCACTCACCCACTCATTCACCCACCTGTATTAAGAGGTATAGAAAGTACCCACAGAAAATCCATGGTTAATCCAAGCCAATCACTAGGGACCCCCTAACCACAACTCATTTATGAGATGGCCAGTGTGGCAGAAGCTGGATGCAGGAATGAAGTAGTCATGTTTTATATATTAAGTTTATTGTTTTTAAACTCTTACATTGAGGTTTCACAAATGTGCTGTGTTTGAGTGCATCCTGGAAATTTAGACTAGCTTTCAGGACATTAAAAATTTTTTTTTTTCTCTTAGTTTTGTCCATGTATCTAATCAGCTTTAGTTAGCACGGTCATTATCTTAATGATGATGGACTTAGATCCCTTAATGAATTAGCTAGAGTGGTTAGCAGTGGCTAACTTACTCTTACACACTTGATAACTGTTTATTTTCGGTTAGGACTCATTATATGACAAACATATCACATGTAGCTCTAATAGTATAAACTCAACACATCTTGTAGACGGGGCACCTCCGTGGCTCAAGGCGTCCGTGCTGTCCCCGGTTTAAGTCTACCTGGGGACTTTATTTACATTTCTATCTCCCTGGTGTATCTTTCACATTTTGTAAACTTAATTTTTAGATGTTGCCTGCTTATTTAGTTAGTTAACTCTACCCTGAAAGGCCGCAATAATTGACCAATAATCAGTCACCTTTAATATATTTTGATCCACCAGAACGGTATTTGTGCATCTGTGGGAAGTCTACTCCATCCGTAGGTGGTTCTTCTCAGACACGGGATAAAACATAATGTTACCACGTGCAACATTGTTTATAGCCAGTAATGCAGCTCTTCATCTTTCAAGTGCACCATGGCAGCTGCTTCACCCTGGCAACATTATCCATTTTTAAAAAAAGTAATCCACCATATTTCTTATCCACAAGGAGCTACAGTGAAAACATTATTTACCTGTGGTTACAGCATTTTGAAATAACTACTAGTAAGAGCTATTTGTCAGGAGGTCGGGAGAAGTAGTCTTCTTTATTTCAGTTTGATCTTTTGAGTCCATTAAACAAACCGTGTAAGTACATCTTATATATCTGAGTAACAGCATGCTCTATATGCTACATGCCTCTTCATTATATCCATATCATTGCATGTAATGTAAAAAAGTGTTTTTGCAGTATTAGGCCAGATTAAATTTAAACACATTAAATTTAAACAGATTTGCACACTGCACAGCACTTGAAACTACAAATATTTTTTTTGGGCTCCCTGCCAAAAATTAATTTGATGGAAACTCTACAACAGTGGAAGCCCATATTTGTTTTTTCCTCCTCAACTTGACCCATATGTCTAAAATGTTTACACATTTTAGGCCGATGATTGTTTGCCTATTTGTCAACCTGCCATTTTTTTTTCTAAAATGCTGGCAATGCCTTAAAATAGCTAAAACTTTGACCGTAGTCAACAGTAGTGTAAATCCCAGTCCAGCATCAGGTTCTGCCACACTGCCCCTCTGCTCCTGTACCTTTCCTCTGCTTGTGCTGCTTTGCTCCTTTGCTCCTTTTCATCTCCTGTCCATGCTCTGTTGCCCTGGAATGAATGGGCTGGTTGCTCTGTGACGAGGCAAGTCTGCTTCCTCCAGGTGATTTTCTTTTGTTGCATAGACGGTAACTCAACTGCTAACCAGAGGAAGAGCTCCAGATTGATGAAGATGGATGAAGTTTACTTCTCAGTAGCCTAATTTTAATATTATAAACCTGTATAGATTGCATGTGGACTGCCAAGACTTAACTTTTTTAATTGTTGGACATTACATTTGATATTTACTTTGTTAATCTTCTGTACATTGTTTTTTTTTTTTATGGTTTTAAAACATATTTTTTAGCATTCTTTTGTTTGTAGTGTTTAATTGAATACGTTCCTATGCTGTTAGTCTTGGTGAAGAAAACATGTACTGAAACTTGTTAGAACATTCAAGTGCCATTTAGTATCACATGAAAATTGTCTCTGCCAGTTTAAGTCTGCTTTGTTTGTTTAAGAAATTATGAATGTCCTCTCATTACAAACAATGCTGGGCTATCCACACTACAACTCCAAAACCGTCTCCACATCCAGGACACAGCACACTCTTTTCATCTACATTTCCCTTTTTTCCTTCCACCTGTCCCTCATATTTTTCCATTCCTCCCTCTTTTTGCATGGCTTGCAAATATACAGAATATAAAGTCTGTTATGACTTTTAAAAACATTTTTTAGAGTCCCTCCTCCCATACATACACAAGACACATTGTATGTTTTTAGTAGGGGTCAAGCTTTTGTGAGTCTTCTTAAAAAAGGGCTTCAGACAGTCTGTTTGTTCACTTTATGTCTGAAGTCTACTGTCAGTTAAGTGGTTACTGTTAGATGACAAATTACTACAATCTTTGTTCTGACTATATGTCTTTACAGCAAAATTCAATGCACAATATCATCCACTAAACTGACATTAGGCTCCAGACAAGTCAAAGTTTCTCTCCATCCATCTGTTGGCATGATGACAGGATGCTGCTGTGATGAATTAATTGACGCCACCTTCTGACAGAAGGAGGGAGGTCACCCATAACTTATATAAAAGTTTAAGATGTGAAAATAAATGGCAGTTAACATAAAAAAAATTGTGGGCTTCCCTCCCTCTCCATCTGTCCTGAGTTGAGTGGCGTTCAGAGGGGTTTCACTAGTTGTCGTGTTGACTCCCCCCTCCTTAACTTGCAGCACACCCTGAACATCCAGCGACAAACGGGTGGCCTGGGTATCAGCATTGCTGGAGGGAAAGGATCTACACCTTACAAAGGAGATGACGAGGTAAGACGTGTACCTGGAATCTGGATAGGTGCAAGAAATCAGAAGCCATAGATTATACAAATTCATTATTGTCTTTTCTTTGTGTGTTCAGGGAATCTTCATCTCCAGAGTATCTGAAGAGGGTCCTGCTGCCAGAGCGGGGGTGAAAGTGGGAGACAAACTCCTAGAGGTAAAGTGTTTGTCTTTAGCAACTCTTTCCTCTGTTTTCTAGTAGTGTATCAAGATACAGGAGTTACAATTCAATATATTGCCATGTATTGCAATACTGTAAGCAAGGAGATGTATTTAAATTTTAAAATCAGATTTTAAGAAAAAGAAAAAGAGCACTACAAGCCAGTCATTCTCTCTATCTGTTTGTCTCAGGTAAATGGTGTGGACCTCCACGAAGCAGAACATCACACAGCAGTTGAAGCGCTTCGTAGCTCCGGCGCTACAGTTTCCATGACGGTCCTGCGGGAGCGTATGGTGGAGCCAGAGAACGCCATCACCACCACGCCGCTGAGACCGGAGGACGACTACTTCCCGCGGGAGAGGCGGAGCAGCGGCGTCGCCTTCAACTTGGAGACGACTCAAAGCGGGCCTCAGCAGCGGCTCTCTACCTGTCTGATGCGAAACGACAAGGGGCTGGGATTCAGCATCGCGGGGGGGAAAGGCTCAACGCCCTACCGCACAGGAGACACGGTGAGAATAAAATGATAATTAGTTCATGGTTTCATCTGTCAGATCAAAAATGCCAAATATTTGCAGGTTCCAGCTTAAACTTAAAGTTGAGGGTTTAATACGTTTTTTTTTTTTTTGGCCTAGTGTGATGTATGACTAAATAACAAGTTTTCTTTTAATACACTGCTTTTCTGACAATTTATTGATTAATTAAGAGAATAATTGACAGATTAATTAATAGTGAAAATACTGAATTATCATCAAACACTAGCATGACAAGTTACGCATTCAGAATATTTAAAGCTTTCCATCAGAAGTCCCAATCTGATCAATAAAGTCTGTAGTCGACTGAGATCATGAGTTTACGTTTAAAGAGAAATATTAAACTAAAGTGATGATCTGAAGCTAAAGACACAATCTACCATCCAATCACTAAATGGCAGGTGTGGTCTTGAAGTTAGGTCACAGAGTGTTTGCAGTCTCAGTCATCCGTCTTTTAACAGCGTCTATTCTAGCCGCAGCGTTTACAGTCATCACCAGGGAGACGGAGATATGAATAGCCAGCCTTGACACCTGATAGGTCCACTGTAATTGGACGGGGTGAGCTGTATATTTGGGCCAGCGCAAAACTGCATTGCAACTCGTGCAGGTCAACAAGCCAACAGAGAGGAAAGGACTCATAAACGTTAGGATTTAGGCGGGTCGGACTGTAAGTCTTGCCTCTCTTTCAAAAGCTTTTTGAAATGGATGCAGGGACTTTGCTGGTTGTTCGTTGATCTGAGGAAGAGTGTGCAGTAGACTTTGCTCCTGCGTGTGTTTACACATTTTGTTTTGTCAAGGCAGACTTTGTGTTTTTATTTGGTTAAACAAACTATGTAATTTATGTGAGCAAAGGGATGATATGTCTCAGGGGTCATGGTTTTGAGCTACTTGTGATGATGTGTCTTAATGATCAGATACTAGTCTGTTAATCAGTTTTAATGTGTGTGTGTGTGGGGGGGGATTTCTTTGTTCATGTGTACAGCTTTATTTTCACAATTTGTGGCGCTGTGGGCTGCTAATGTCACAGAACTAGCTACATAGAGCGTGCCAGCGGTAGTGAATACAGAAATTCTATTTCTGGCTCAGATCCACTCTGTGTGGGATATTACACACTGACTGACTGCTATCTCCCCTTCCAGCTCACAGTTAGCACAGATTCATCACAGCATTGCAGCCTATTGCACCAGTTTACCACTCACCCTGTCTAATTTGATACACAGGCAGGGGAGGCCAGGGAAGATTTTTGGAATAATTACCATTTTTAGCTGAAGTATAATTAGCAACATATCCTTTATCTTAGAAAGAGCATAGTAATAGTAATGTATCCTCAAATGTCCAGAAAGGTTCAAACATTCGACAATGTCTCTCTTTTTAGGGAATCTACATATCTCGCATCGCAGAAGGGGGAGCAGCTCACAGAGACAGCACACTGCGCGTGGGCGACCGGGTGATCTCTGTGAGTACTACACAACCTCCCATATCTCCATCTGGGAGTCGTAGTATTCACTGTGATCAAAACAGGCTTTCTTTTACAATGTTTTCATAGATGTGACAATGGGAATAATTTAGTTTTTTTTCCTCCTAACTCTATCCTTACATGATTACCCCCTGTAAGGATTCAAGAATGGGTTCAAATTGGATATAGTATATCCTGGTAAATGGATGTTGGTGTTGTTCCAGCAGTTTTTGTGGAGGCTAAAGAACACAACCTGATTATGTACTCTATATTAATCTAGATCTGTCCCATCTAATGCAGTGTAAAAGAAACACTTCTTTTATGTCATCATTGCTATGTGTTTCAATGTTTCCATTGTAAATGTGCCCACAGCACTGCTCTCATCACTCAAGTCAAGTCTTGTGATATCTGAGATAGTGCAGACTGATTTGTAATAAGTCCCATGCTGACCACATGCAGAAAATTAACTCATCAACCTTCACTCTCATACATCAAGACCATAACATGGCAGCTGAGGCAGAATACTAACACAGTCCTCATACTAAATCTAACTCTCATCAGATGCAAACTGTGTAGCTGTTCTGGTTATATATTGCAGTATTGAGGTTATATGTTTCACTGCTAAGAGGTTCCTGCATGAACTGTCCATGCTGTTTTAGTTTCCTCCGCTGATCACACTCCATGCTTGGCTTTGCTCTCCTTTTTTCTGTCACCATTTAGGTAACTCTTGAGTTGCATGTTTTTATCCAGTCACACTGTAAAACCAACTAGTGACGGTTGATTTTGATGCATCCTGAGGTTTCTCTCCGTTTGCCGAATTATGAAACTGCTTATTGTCTTAACTGTTTTCTTTAATGCAAATCCTGCTCTCTGGGAATCACAGAAAACCTTCCTGAATTATCCTCTTTGCTTCCTTCCCGGGTTTCCTCTTTCCTTTGGCAGTATTTCAGTTCTTTCTCTTTTGTCTGTTTGTAGCCTCTTTTTCTCTTTTTCTCTCTTTCTCACGTTTTCTCCATCTGCATGCTCACTAATGTATTAAGTGCATCTCCCTGCCTGCTTGGTGGTGGGTATGGTGTTGGGGTGGAGTGGGCTGAGCTTGTCGCCTCGCTGACATAGTAGACACATCAGTGTGTTGCCATGGCAGCGGGGGCTGCAGCAAATCAGCCGATGGTAAGAGCTGGTACTGTCGGGTCAGTGCTGACCTCTGCTTGTCACTGTGGACCAGAATATAGTTTTTAAAATCGTGCATGCCTGATAGATACTCCCATATCTAAAAGCCAGCGTTAGTAAAAGTAATGATTAAGTCATTCTTTATGACAAAGTGGTCTAAAGACTTCACTGTTTGCCTTTGTTGACTTAAGATCAAACCTTTTGGAGAAATAACACACTTCCACTTGTGTTTTAAGTAAACAAAGGCAATAAGGGATTGAAAAGTGTTACATTAAAGGATAGCACAAGCAGTCATAACTAAACAGAAGTTGACTTTTGGGGTTTTCATGACTCTTGTGGAAATAAATAGCTTTGCTTGCTCGTAGCCTTTCCCCCTTAGGGAAGTTCTACCAGCTTAAATTGCCTGCAGCAGCCCGCTGTTACCCCGCTCCCTCTTCCTCTCTGCCTCTTCCTGTTGCTCTGTACAGGTGCTGGTTTCTTCCTCAAATAACAGTACTCACTTTTGTGCACTCACAAACTCTCCGTGAATTAATATCAGAATGTTTTAGTTGTTAAAGTATTCAGAAATAATTCTGAGTAATGAGGTGTAGAATTAGATTAGAGGAGACTGATGGCAGCAGGCCGTTTTCAGCATGTGTTTGTTTTTTAATGTTCATCGGGCCAATGGCAAATGTGGCCCATTGCCACTGGAAGCGTCCTGGTGGGCTGACACCCTCCGTGGTTGGTTTTACTGTCGATCCAGATCAATGGTGTAGACATGACAGAGGCCAGGCATGACCAGGCAGTAGCGCTCCTTACCGGCACCTCCCCCACCATCGCCCTCCTAGTGGAGCGAGACCCGAATGCACCAGGGGGCTCTCCAGGTCAATCCCGGGCACGAGCCCACTCCCCTCCACCCCCAGAACCCTCTGATTCACCAGACCAGGAGGAGGAAGGCCTTTCCCTTCACGGGAATCACTTGAGCCAAATGGAGGACGAGTATCCCATTGAGGTGAGACCTCTTAGACCTAACTCCAGCACTTGAATATGCTGCGTAGCTTTTCCGTTTAAATAGACCATGCTCTAGAAGCCTCATTAAGGCATTCAGCATTAATGTTTGTTCATTTGGCCCCTGCCTTATCCTTAATGCTGTCCAGTTCCAGAGAAGATGGTGCATGGTATGAAGGCTTGGTCTAATTTAAATAATGGTGTACTGTAGAGTGTAGCCTTGTAATACCAGCTGTATCATTCCAAGTTGTCAATAATGCAAAGATACTGCTGTTAACTTACTTTACTTACATTAGTGGCTTATGCCTGTAAAGAGATCTGTATGTGTATGTAGTAGGTTGGTTTGTGTTTATTAGACAAATAATACTGTAGAGGTAGACGGGGCTGTAACTTATGACCTGATGTTTTATTGATTCTCTTTTGTTAGATTTAGGCTTGAAATATTTTCAACACATTTTATACTTCTAATCCTATCAGGAAGTGACCCTGGTGAAGTCAGGTGGCCCTCTAGGCCTGAGCATCGTGGGAGGCAGTGATCATGCAAGTCACCCGTTTGGCGTCAATGAACCCGGGGTGTTCATCTCAAAGGTAAAACTGTGAAAGAGTTGTGAAGGTCCTTGTTTTCCCATTTTGTGTTTTTTTTTCTTCTCCTTAAATAAAATATAATTTGTGTCTCCCTTTACCATCTCATCACCAGGTGATTCCTCAAGGTCTAGCATGTCAAAGTGGACTACGTGTTGGGGACAGAATATTAGAAGTGAACGCCATCGACCTGCGTCACGCCACACACCAGGAAGCTGTACGAGCCCTGCTGGCCAACAAACAGGAGATCCGTATGTTGGTACGGAGGGACCCTTCACCACCTGGCATGCAGGTGAGGATGTCAGCTCAAACAAATTTACACATGCAAGCGCATGCGTAACACAGGTAATTGCTCACATTACCTTGCCTGACGAGTTGTGTATGTCATTGCAGGAAATTGTGATCCAGAAGCAGCAAGGGGAGAAGCTTGGAATCAGTATTCGTGGAGGGGCCAAGGGTCATGCAGGAAATCCCTTTGACACCACAGATGAAGGAATCTTTATCTCTAAGGTTCTGAAGTTAGACATTTTATATACCACAACTTTGATAGTCAATCATTTTTTTTGTACATTTTAAGGCTTTTTCACCACATATGAAGGCTTAAAAATAAGTGCATTTTATTTAAAGCTACATCTGTCTATTCTGCTGTCAACAGAAGAATCAAATAATAAGTTTAAAGAGTTATATATAAGATGACATTAACAGGATATGTATTGGTTCTGAATTACAATTATATAGTTATCACAGGCAGTCATCAATGTACCCGTACTTTGGTTGATATTGAAACAGGTGAGTTCGAGCGGCGCAGCAGCAAGGGACGGCCGACTGCAGGTTGGCATGCGTATCCTGGAAGTGAACAACCACAGCCTGCTGGGGATGACACACACAGAGGCAGTGCGAGTGCTCCGTGCTGTAGGAGACTGTCTGGGCATGCTGGTGTGTGACGGCTTCGACCCACGAAAGGTGGCTGCTGTGGAGGTAAGACGTCATGAGCAGTCGGATTTGGACAAAATGTTATTTCCATTTATAGAGCCATTAAAATGAAACAATACTGAGTTGAACATGCTTATAGAATGAACTTAAATGTATATATATTCAGTCAGAATATCTAGAAAATAACTGATCTGGTTTATAAATTGCCAGCAGTCTTAACTTTATGTAATTTTCTGAAAAGTTTTCTGTTTGAATCAATTTAGATCAAATTTCTAAACAAAACTCTGTTTCTAGGCATCTCCTGGCATCATTGCCAACCCGTTTGCAACAGGCATCGTCCGGAAGAACAGTATGGAAAGCATCTCGTCTATAGACCGTGACCTGAGCCCAGAGGAGATTGACATTATGCAGAAGGTACAACGCAGATTTTACCGTGTTTACTTTAGACTACTTGTACATCTAAATGAACATAATCTGTGCAGTGAAGGTCAGGTTATTGTTGTCAGTGTTGGTCTGTACACCCCTTCATCCACGTACCAGGAATCACACATGAATTGATGTTTTGTTCGGCAACACTGTGCTTCCACAGCAGTTTGCTGTCAGCAGGTGGAGTTTTCAACGACAGCGGAGTTTGACTCACTCCAACCACACATACCCATCATTTCACTACACCACCCAGAAAGTGCCAGCGCAGTTGTTTATTTTGTCCAGATTAGCTTTTGGGAGACTGCCCGCACTAAAGAATGTAGGGGCTTGTGCGTTTATTGAATGCTAGTTTCTGTTGTTCCTCTGTCTGCACACTGATGACACCGATTTTTTGGGGGGGTCTTGCATTCTTTATTAGCACATACAGTCATAAAAGAATTCATATGGAAAAAGTTACTCAGCCATGCAGTGTTTCCACTAAGATTTACAGGATGGGATAGTCAGCATTTATTGGGTTTGTAATGATCTTAAATCTGTTCTCCAGGAGTCTGAGATGGTGAGAGAGACATCACAGTGGGAGCGAGAAGAAATGGAGAAAGTGGTAAGTGAAAAATTTAAATTCTATACTTTTTTTTTTTTTTGGGAAGGCTAAAGGTAAAAATGTATCTGTCAGATCAGCAGATAGATGGCAATGCAGCGAGAGAAGAGAATAAAACAGAAAAAAATGGCAAACACGAGTCAGGGTGGAGCTTTAGAGTCAGAAGCTTGAGGTTGGTCGGTTATCGGGTGAATGAAGCTTCTCCTCTGCACCCTGTGTGGGTATTGTGTTTGACAGAACTATTCCTGCAATGTCCCACCTTGCATGCTTTTTTCTGCTCCCATAGCTAATGAGTAGAGTACTTTTTAATGTGTGCGGATTCTATCCTTTCTTTCCCTTCTGTTTTTCTCTCATCTGTCCTTTTTCCTTTGGTGTGTTTGGTGTGACACAAAATCATCCCATCTCCATACCACTTTCCCCCTGTTGTTTTTCTCCACTTCTCACCCCCTGTAACACTTCTTTCCTCCTCTGTAAATCCTCCATCTTCACCTCTCATCGCATTACTGTGTGGCTGTGTGTGGTTGGGTGTCTTCCCTCCTGTACTCTCCTCCTCCTCCTCCTGCTCCTCCTCCTCCTCGTCCCCTCCCTTTCTTGGTGAAGGAGCGTATGCGTTTGGAGAGAGAGGAGGCAACTCGCCTGCTAGAAGAGGAGACTGAGGTGAGACACTCCTCATCTGCAGGTCTGCAGACAACCATCTTGTCTGTGTAAAAGGGCCACACCAGCATGATTTCACCATGTTGCTCATTCTTGGTATTTCAGGGAAATTAAATCATTTTTTTGGTTTTCTTAAATAAATCACTTTGAGCTACATTCAAACTGGCTTAGTTTGACTGAAGAAAGTCATGTCCAGGTAGAGTACAGGTAAAAACAAGCTTACTTAATGGTAGATGGTGCTTCAACAACAACAACCATTGGCAGTGTTTTTGAGTCGCAAGCTGGTAGGGTGGCACATCCCTACAGGTCGGTCCCGGTAAAAGGTGACCAGACCTAACAATGTGATAGTCTGTCTCTTATGTTCCTACTTGTGCATTCAGTCTGTTGCCGTCGGCCCACCAAGCCCATTTGTTTCTACTGTGTTTATGCTACTTACTCTACATATATGTAAAACTGGTCACAGAGACATACCTTTTATTTTACCAGGAGATCCCACTGAGATCAAAAATCTATTTTACAAAAGAGACCTAAATATATACTTTTGTTAAATAAGAAACACTGAGGTTAGTCTATACAGACAATACTTCAATCAATTATTTTTTTGTTGTCTTTTTGCTGGATTTGTTGACAATCAGTATCACCAGACTTATCCTTTAATACAACCAAATAGACCAGGGCAATAAAACTATAGCAGTATGTATTGGCAGACACTTCATCATTAAAAATAAGAAACTTGTTCAATAGAATTATTCATACTTTGACTTAAATGCAACATAATGAATACGGCTCATAAACAGCATCATGTCTCCTGATAATGAAGCAAAAATGATCAATGATCAATAAATGATCAATAATTATCTATATTGACTGAAATCAATTATTTTATTGTGATAGAGCTAGTTCACAAAGTGTGGATGTTTTACTTTATAGGAATGACTCTCTACAATTCTATACATAGTGTCCGCCAGTAAAACAACTTCACTTTAAATAGATTCTCACTCGGTGAATAATAAACCTCAGCCTTGTCCCCTTCTCACCTCTGTTGTCTGTTTATTTCTGTAGAACATTGGCACTGGACCTCTAAAACTTGACTACAAAACCCTGGCTGCACTGCCCACCACCAGTCTGCAGAAGCTCAACAGGGTAAGGCTCACTTTATGTTCTAATATCTTCAGGCAGCAGTACAAGATAAGATTAAATATTATGAATCCAGTTACTTTTTAACATGTCTGAAAGAGAGTGTAGTTGTGATTCTGTATTTTTTGTGCGTGGCTATGTTGGAAATGGCCTTCATGGCTCAGAATAGACCTCTTCATGGAATCCCTTGTTTTTATGTCCTGGGAAACTGAGTGACCCAGAGCCGACCAGTTGCTGCTCCAGGAGCAGGAATGTTAACCTCCATCCATATGCATAACCCCAAGTCAACACATCACAGATGGTGGCTCCAAGGCCAAACCCATACAACATATCTGTGTGATGTAACTGGGTCCCACATCAATTAACAAGAGGAGATGTGACCTGGATTGAAGACATAACATGTGGATCAAAGACTGATCAAGAAGTTTGGAAAAAGAACATGAAGACAGAGCTCATCAAGTACAGAAGACCAGAAAATAATAAAAGAGGAAGAAAGACGATCAGAAGTGTCTCTAAAGTACAGAAAAAGGGAGGGGATCGAAATGGAAACATGGCCAGAGGGCAGGCACTGTCCTGGTTGATACAGGGTGTGAGTGAGTGAGTGTGTGTGTGTGTGTGTAAGAGGTGGCGAGGTGGGGGGAAGGGGACAGCTGCCCACTATCAAAAGGCCTATCCTCTGTGATATTTTAAACCTGCATCTGGTTCTGAATTGGATGGAGTCTCTTGGGTGGGTGGAGTGCCAGACTGGGAGGGGGATTATCGTCTAAGAGGGACAGACAAGTGTTTCAGTTGGAGTTCCCAAAGTCCTCGGAGGAGTACGTTAGAGTGGACATACGACGCTGTCCTGCTACCATCCTACAGGTATTGGGTTTGTTATTTCCTTTCTCGCATTTGCCGCTACTTCTGTCTGGATTCGTTGTCTCTTTATTTTATTTTGATCCGACTCTGTGTCTGCGTTTTTATGATTTTTTTTTTAAATCTCTTTTGGTTTGGACACACTTAGACTGTTTAGACCAAGTATTATTTTGTCTTCATTAACATTTGGTTCCCATTAACTTTCGCCCTGCTGTACACAAGTAGTGTAGACTTTAAGTAGACCGTGACTTTGTTTTTGTGCTCTACTTGTAGCTCTTTGGCCTGTTAGATTGTCTAGGAGAACTTAACCTACATTTGACATGCAGCTGTTCGTTGCTCGGTGTGTTAGAGCTCCAGCCCACGTGGTCCTGTTCAAACTGTATCACAGTGACTCTTTATAACTGCTTGTAAGTTGTTACCAAAGGTTTAGCTAAAAATCATTTTACCATGATTTAATAAGAAGTGAGGTGTAGAGCTGCCTTTTTAGCTTTTGTAACATCACTGGAAAGGAGGAGGGTTGAGAGTAAAACTGTGGTAATGGTAACTTTTTGTTAGTTTATTGACAATATTGTGATATATTTATGAAATACAACATATATTGTTCTATCTTTGACAAGAACAATGAAGAGCAGCACTTATTTCCATTGATGTCCTTTGAGTTTAAAGTCCACTAACCTTTATCAAGACAGAGACAGACATTCAGTATAAAAATATTATAAAATAGGAACTGAAAAACTAGAAAATTGAATTAGAAAAACATTCAAGTAGGGAGTAAAATAGATTCAGTTCCCGGTTCCTTTGACATGCAGCTCTTCCCAGCATGGCCAGCTCAGCGCGTTGGCATGCTGATGAACCAGCAACCTCACACCAAAACCCCAGCTGTCCCGCACAGTCTGTGTCGGAGCCAAAAGGGCACTCGTTCACATTCCACCCCACTGACCCTCATCACACCACCGACTCTTATAGTCAGCACGTAGAGAGGCACATTACTGCCACACAATGCTTGTTGTATTCTTAGTCCGGCTATTTTGATTATCACCAGATACGTCAAGGTCACGTGGGATAAATTACAAAGTGGGTGACTTCTGTAGGATGATTCTAGGCTTTGTAGGAGGTCTGTTTCAGTGTTAGGTATTTAAAAAACATGACACTTCTACGGTTGCGCTTAGAGTATCAGGTTTCTTTACATGGGTTGGGTTAAACGTGGCATATTTTCTCCCCTCCTACAGTGACATTAACTGTCCTCTGTGCTGAGTACAGTAGGAGTTGAAGGTGTGCTGGAGCCTGAATGTCTCACTGATCTGATAATGTGGTTATTTAAGGCAGAGGCTAAGAGCCAGGACTGTAGTAATCTGTCTAATAGTGTACAGCAGCACTTAACAAGTCTTGAACGATGGGCACTGTGAAACTTCAGGCTTCAGGAAAGATTTAGTGATGTGAGTAACTCTTTTTAGCAGCTAGAGGCTTGTGTGTCATGTGTCTATTTACAGAAGCACATCTTAAGACAGAGGGAATTACTCTTCTTATTTCTGGAATTTCTTTGTTTAATTTAGTGGTTTGTAATAGGATACTTCAGACAAAACAAAGCCACAGGTTAGCCAGAAAACAAAATGATTACACGAACGAATGGTTTGTTTTAACATCCATTACAGTGTACAGACCAACTTCCTGCTTCAACTTTGACCTACTGTACGGGAACAGTTGACATACACACACTTTTCCTGTGCGGGGAGGGATTAAAGTGAGCGCACCAGACATTACATGTAGTTGTGACACAGTTTAGTTCTTATATTGTGTGTTCAGTGATTGAGGTTTGGACCTTTTGTGGCTATATTGGTATATCAACTGGTATTATCCATAAATCACTGTTCTCCCTTTCTCCTCTATTCTTTCAGCTTTTATTTCTTTCCACCAGTTTTCCTGTTAGTCCTTTTTTATGTCAGTTTACTGTACTTGTCCTCCCTCTTTCCTTTGCTTCTGTCCAGTTCTCTACTTCTGTAAGTCTGACTGCTCCCATGGAGGCCCCCATGCAGGCCCAGTACGGAGCCCCAGTAGAGCCTCTGGGCTTCGGCTTAGGCCACCCCTCAAATCCCCTCAGCCACATGGACCCCGAGTCCTGCCACAGTCTGAACACAGAGCATCTGCTCCAGTCTGAACACACAGATTATCTTCTTGGATCCCAGTTCTCCTCCAATGGGACCTCCACTACCGACAGTGCCGGCTCATCAACAACCATTAACTCATCAACATTTGCAGCTGAAGAAGAGGAATGCCTGGTGGACTCTCAGCCTATCTGCTTCAAAGAGAACCCTTTCTTGGTGGCCAATCGCAAAGGAAAAGGCCGTCCAGCTGGAGAGCAGGTCCTGTCAGGGCCTCCGGTGGGCTATGGGAAGCAAGGCCAACTGCAGCCCTGGTTGTTCAGCAAGGCAAGCCGCCTGCCTGAGTGTGGTTTGGAGGCAGCATGGTGTGTTACTGCGCACAGTGTGTTGTTTGGCTCACTTGTGTCACTTAAAAAGGATAATTAATTTTCTTTAAATCAACTCTAAACTCAAACTCTAAAGCACCAGACAGTAAGTGTGAATATATCGGCCTTTTTTTTTAAAGAAAAAAGGGCCAAAATTCTCTAGTTCCAGCCATATAATTGTAGATATTTGCTGGTTTACTTAGTTTCCTACGGATTGTAAACTGAATTTCTTTGGGTTTTGGATTGTTGGTTGGGGAAAACAAATTAAATTTAAATCATCATTCTACATGCCTCAGCTTTACTGCGCTTTATAGCAGGTTTCAACTTGTTGTTTTGCTGTGCGGTTGCAACTTTACTGTGGCCAAAAATTAATTATCGCAAGTTTAACGATGTCACTTTGGACTCTGGGACGGTGGGATGAACAACTGTTTACCATTTTTGGATATCTAATCCTTACTCATGGGTTTGTTATTAGTAGCTTTGCTGTTTGTAATGTGGTTTTAAAAAAAGCTTTCTGTCAGCGCAAAGCATTTTTCTCTAAGGAAGTGTGTGTCCAGGTTGTGTGTGGGTGTGTGGGTGTGTGGGGTGTGTGTGTGTGTGTGTGTGTGTGTGTGTGTGTGTGTGTGTTAATCTCAGTGTATCAACCAGCTGAACTGGTGCATGTTTTTGCCGTGAGCACAGATCTTGTGGCACCTCATAAGGTATTTGGGCACATAGTTTGTACATAGTCGGGATCGACTGGAATGTCTGTCCCAGCAGCTGCGAGGCGGGGGTCAATAAGTCGAGAAGGATCACAACGTGCAAGACGTACAGAAAAGTGCATGTTTATGAAGAGCTTGTTGTTGGTTGGATTTACTGGAAGATGAACTCTTCACAGGACTAACAAGTGAATCTTGTTTTGGTATCTTTTTACTACACTGTTGACTCTTTCAGTGCAATGAGTGAAAGTAAGAGCAGCTGTTAAGTGTGTTTTTTTTTTTTTGCTGTTTGATCTTTGTTTGTCCAGGCGCCTCCTTCAGATTTTACCAGGACGGAGAGCCCAATCAGGGAAGCACCGTACTCTCCCACGATCCAACCGGTGAGCAGCCCTAACATCCAACACACCTCCAATATTCCTCATCTCCTCTTCCACCATTTTTGCTTTATTTTCTCCTTTTCCATGAGTCATTTCTACCCCTATAGATTAGGTATTTTACTTCTGACCTTTCCTCCCACCTGTAGCCAAGCCACCACTCTACCAACAGCTCCCCATGTGCAGGCAGGGAGACCCGCTTCGTAAGTGGGTCTTGAGGCCCTGTCTGCTCTGGCCTGGATTTTTTTTTTTAGCACATGCAGCGGCTGCTCTGAGCCCTCTGTCTGTCAATAAAACATAACTAGTTCAACTAGTGTGTCTGCCACAGTCCTACCAGTCTGAAAAGCATGCAACTGCTTCTCTAAGGCCAGCTGATTACTGATGCATTGCCTCATGCAGACATGAATGTGCATTCATTGGATAGATTTTTGTCTGATTGTCCTTTTAATGTGTCTACTGACCAGCTCGTACAGGACAGTAACAAAATAAAAATTTCCATTTATAAGAGGAATTTAGATATCAGTTTGGGAAAATGTAACAAATGGCCCACAACTGGTGATTAAAGGTAAACTCTGGTGGTGTTGCATTGTTTGGTAGTGTCTTTATTTGGCCTGGCATCATCCTAAAGACGCTTTATTTAGTGACTGTATTCATTCATTCATCTGGATTCATGCATTTTATTTCATTTTCATTGTTTTATTTTCATTTTTTGCAGGCAAACATTCATTACACCTCCACTCCTACTGCCAAGGACGACACTTCATCATCAGTGAGTGTCTGTGGAGCTTGAAGTAACTTTTATTGTAGATTAGAGCTTGACTGATCACACTGGTTTTTAGTACATACTTGTTAACAGACACAGTGATTAAATGTACGTCCTAAAGAGGATTACATTACATACATCTACATCGATGTATAGCTATGTTTGAATCTCAAAGAGCTCCTAACCCAGAAGAAGCTTTTTCATCTGGAGTAACTCTCTGGAGAGACGTATGATGTTTGTAATCATTGGGCATAAAATGAAGGATAAAGATTGATTGGATATTGTTTATGGTACAAATTAGTTATTGAGCTTCAAAAACACCATAAATAATCTGAATGTTAAATTATGCTCTGATTCATATTCACCATTAGCTCCCATTCATTTTGAGTTGTCATTCGTCCTAAAGTTTGGTGTATGAATGAAAAGCAATTTGAGGCAATGTTAACAAAATGACCTTGTGTAAAATATAATTTGTCTTTCCTCCAGACGCGACCGGGTGCCATCCAGCCAGTCGGGCGCATGCGGCAGAGTCCCTCTCCCGCCACTCCGGACGGCCACAGTCCCAACCCCTTCCAGCATGGCCCCTCCCCCTTCAACTCCCAGACCTCTGTAAGACCCCTCACCACCACATAGTGCTGTTTTCTCTCCACTCACAGCTCTGTGCCGCCTGCTCTGACTGCACAGCCCTAAAACACTCCAATGGTGTCTCACAGCAGTGCAGCAGAGATGCAGATTATTGAGTTTTGTTTCTAGAACCAAAGACAGGAAGACTTGTATTTGAAGGGGTTGAGCCTGTGCAGGTGCTGCTGTCTGTGACCCCCCCGGCACACCTGGAGGTTATGTGTTTGAACTACACCTGCAGACGGAGCATCCGGCCCGACTCTGAACTCCTGAATCAGAAATAAGTTCTCTTAATTGCAGCTTTCTGAAATGTGCCGCTTATTTCTTCCTTTGGCAAGCAGCCTAGTCGGATTGGTAAATAACGAAGAAGCTTCGATTTCATCCCATGTCTTCCTTGGTTGTTTCACAAAAGGAGCTCATACAGACAAAAAATCTGTCATGGCTTTGAACTTTCCAGGCCCTACTGTCTGTCTCTCTCTGGCATACTCCCCTCCTCTCTCACATGAAACCAGCCGCCATGCTGTTCACCTGTTCTCCTCCACAGTCTTCTTCAACTTTGCTGGTTTTTTTTCATAGTCTACCCTCTCCTTCATGTCTCTGTCTGTCCGTCTTTCCCACCTCCTCTACTTCCCTTCCTCGCTCCTTTTGCCATATAAACCTACCCCACCCCCCATGCCCACCCCCCACCCTCCCCACCCCCTGCAGCCTCGCGCCCCCTCCCCCCACCTCGCCCGACGAGTTCCCCATGAATGTCAAGCAGGCATACAAGGCATTTGCCGCCGTGCCTCGCTCACTGGCAGTGCTGGAGCCGCCGCAGGTAGGCCGTGCTGCCCGGACTCCCCCGGGTCACAACGACAAAAGCATGCTGTGCTGATTGGTTGGTCTCGCCCCCCTGCCCCCCCCTCCTGACTGGAGCAGGCTGTCATACAAAGGAGCCTGCGCCGTGTCGGGGGGCCTGTGACGTGCTGTGACGTGTGGAATGCGTTCATCGTTGGTTTTTGTACTTCAGTGCCATCATCTGTCATACTGGTGTTGAGTCTTGATCCATTCGTCCATCCATGTGTGGCTCGTGTACTAATATTCAATCCCCCCTTTTTATATATATATTGTATCCCAGCTGCTAATCAGTCTGCCTGCTCTGTATCTCTGTCTTTGTCCTCAGTCTTTGAGTTTAATGAATGTTACTAACACTCTGCTCATCCTGCTGTGCCCTACAGGACCTGTATGGTGTGAGGAACAATTTCCACCCAAAGCAACCTTCTCCAGAGGTGAGTGAACACAGTCACCAAAAGTTATTAAAAGATGTTGTAATGTATTGGACCAGATATAGATTTGGAAAAAGAAGGGGTCAAATTATATTCTGGACATTAACGTGTTCACAATATCAGATATTCAATTTGATTGAAGAGAGAACAAGTGCGGCACTATGACAGTGGTCCTCTAACCTTTTCTGCCATTCCCCCCTTCAGAAGCTGATAGCAGACATAAACAATATCTATATGGTTATTGTTAGTTATAGTGGCATCAATATTAAATTGAGACTGTTTCATAACCAGTTGAAAACTCCTTATACTAGTTTTTAACATTGATAGCGAATCTAAAACGAATTAAAAAAAATCCAAGTTGAATTTGAGTGAGATAAAGGTCAGTACAATAACACCAGCATGCTCTTGATTGGTTATTATTTTTACATAAATCAAATTCTTTCGCCTGATTTACGCTCCTTATATTTCCCCCGGTCATCCACGCCCCACACTTCGAGAACCTGGGTTGTTTGTTGCCTTAATGTTGCGATTCCATCTGTCGGGTTTGTTTTAATGTTAGTTTGCCCCAACAGTTTTCACGAAGCCAGTTTCAACTGACAGCTTGTGTCATGTTTTTTTTTTGCTGCAATGGAGGAAATAAATTCTTGATGGGTGAAAACGAGTGGAAAGCTTCCTCGAACCTCTTTACTGCAGAAACAGATCAGGATTGGTTCCTGATCGTCTGTTAAGCACCCACAATATGTCACGATGAAGAGCTTTACAAGAGAAAATACTTACTCATACTTTCATTATCTTGGGGGGGATTTTTTCCAGCAGGACTACCCTGAAAGTCTTTTTATATAACAGCTGTTTAAAAAGAGGGGGATGTTTTATAATTGGGCAAATACAGCGTTTAACTAGTGACTATTGAATCTGCAGCTACAAGAACTAATATCTAAGTATATAGTCTAGATATGCTTTTACTGTAGTCACATACTAAAAAAACAAAAACCTCACTGGCTCTTAGTCATCTTGGTCTGACAGTCTGGTGACGACCTATGTGGCCTTTTCAGCCTGAGTGGAACAACGAGGTGTTTGATGATGACATAGATGGTCAGGAGGGAGCTGGTAAGGGTCTGACCAGCAAGGTCTCCCCCCGTCGGGAGTATATGAGCCTGGCAGCAGTGCCTCGCCTCTCCAGGCCGTCCATGGAGCTGCAGGTACCCACCGCCTCCATCTGGAGCAGCCCTTTTCTTTGTCTGGGCTGTGGTGTGCTTGGCTTGACCGGTGGTGGTGTCTCTGCTCCCAGAGGCTGGGAGACTGCCCATTAAATGATCTTAAATCAGCTAAATGGTGCTGGGTTCTGTTTTAATGGCTAATTTTTGTCTTTCTTCCTCATCTGCCATACTTTTCCTCCTCTGCTCTTTTGGCAAATGGCTCTGCAACAATTCAAATAGCAATAAAAATCAACTTCATGTGCTTTTCAACAAATATTGTCCTTTTATTTTGATGTTTTGTAATCTTCCATTTTGAATTCTGTCCTTGATTCTTTTTGTGTTTTTCTGTTTTAACTCTACAGAGTCCTTCTCCTGGTGGTAAGGACAGCCCAGAGCAGCGCTCTTTCAGGGACCGACAGAAGTATTTTGAGATTGACGTGAAGCAGCAGACACCAGACAAACCCAAACCTCGAGTATCTCTTGTCGGAGAAGATGACCTCAAGAAAATGAGGGAGGAGGAAGGTTTGTTGTTCTTCCTTTAGCATCCTCTACCAGTAACTACTAAAAAACACCTGGCTCTAAATGTACAAACCTGTGTCTGTTCATCTCACCGGCAGAGAGGAAGTTTGAGCAGCGGGCGCGGGAGTACCTGCTGGATGAGGAGGAGGATGATGAGGAGGAGGACCTGGCTAAGCAGATGGCACAGATGAAGGCCTCTGGCAAAGTGTTGCTGGATGGAGTGGAGTACAAAGTGGAGCCAGTATCCAGCCCATCCCAGCACTGTTCCACACCACCAAGCTACAACGTCACACCGCCAAGCTACTATGGCAGCTCAGGGTACAAAAGTTGTGCGTTATTATTACTTTAAACATGTTTTTATTTGATTTATTTAGCTAATTTTGTGTTTGCGTGTATTTGTAGGCCTTCCTCGGTTGATGGTAAGGGAGACTCTCAGAGGAATTCACTAGAGGACAGCTTCAGGCTGGAGCAGAGGCCTAACTCCATGACTGGGTAATTACATTATACACTTACTATGAATGTCTCTTTGCTGTTGTTTTTATCACCGTAGTCATCACTGCTACTTGTGTATCTTGTCAGTCTGATCCCCGTGTACCCCGGGGAGTCGGCGGCTCCCATCCGCACAGCCAAAGCAGAGCGCAGGCACCAAGAGAGACTTCGTATGCAGAGCCCCGAGCTGGCTGTGTCCCCCGACAAGGACCTTTCCCCTGCTGAGAAACGAGCTCTGGAGGCGGAGAAGAGAGCCATGTGGAGGGCAGCACGGTAAAAACACTTCACAAATCCTGACTAGGAAGATAAAATGGCTAATGGGGTCTTTTTTTTGTGGATTAAAACAAACTACTATGGCCTTCAGTAACTATTTTGGCTAATGAACAGGGGCAGACAGGCACATCGTCCATATTAGTTGCGTCATGTAATCTTTTCAAGGCTTTAATACGCAACGTTTGCAGTTAATGGATACATTTTATATCATATTTTTCATATCTGCATTGATGTGGACAAAGCAGGAGTCTGAAGTGGGTAGAGAGGGGAAAGCTTTGTTTTCTTTCAGCAGAGCATCAGAAACATTTACTGTGCTGATAACAGATGAATGTAGGGAGAGAAAGACATAATAACCCACAGAAGACAATATGGATGAAGATATTTTAATGAATCCTTACACAATCAGTTCTTTGTAATGATTTAAAACTAAAACTAAATACCAAACAGCCACATTTCCTGATAAATGTCGTACTGGTCAGTAACAGGGTTGTTTTTTTCCCAGTTGTCCCAAACATAAGTTCACAGTTGACTCTGTTGACGCCATGCTGTGTGGTTATTGTCTCCTCTTACTTTTTAATGTCTAAAAATTGGATCTTTATTAGTCCTGGCTCTCCTGAGTGTGTCAGTGTTTTACTGTCCATTCTTTGGTTTTCTTCTCTTTTTCTGTCTGTATGCCTTTCTTTTCTCCCTCTCCTCCTTATATTGCTCCTTCATCCTGGTGTACCCGTCTGCCTTTCCCTTCCTCCACCTCCTCTCTTTCACCCTGTCCCCGGCCTCGCGGGGCCCAGGCCCTGTGGCCTAGAGGAAGATGTTAGGCAATATGAGCAGGACCTGGCTAAGAGGCTCTACCAGGCCAGAGTGAGGGCATCTCAGGGCACGCCCGAGGCCCCCCAGCCCCCCACCTCCTCTACCTCCTCCTCCGCAGCCTCCCAGCTCAGGTCTGCTCCTCGGCCCCAGTCAGAGGGCCAGACGCACGGCATCGTGGGGTGTGCTGGGGTGCTTTGCCATTGGGGTATTTTGCTAGAGGCCGAGTTCAGAAAGGTCCAAGCAAGCACTCGCAGCGACACTGTGACAGTGCTTCCACTGCCTTTCTAGTGCTGTCTTGCTTCTGCACGTCTTTGCTGTTTCTAGCTCTCTGGTCCTCTCTCTCTCTCTCTCTCTCTCTCTCTCTCTCTCTCTCTCTCTCTCTCTCTCTCTCTCTCTCTCTCTCTCTCTCTCTCTCTCCTCTGTCTTGTCTCCTCCCTCTATGCCGCACTCTTTTCATTTGCGCCTTGCTGTTCTCTTGATTTTCATACTATTATTTGTACTAACACACAGTTTGCAAGCTGTTTGTGAGTTGAGGGTAAGCCTACTAGCAGTAGGTAGTCCTTTTCCTGGAATGCCTCTTATTAGGCAAAGAAATTAAACCGGTTGTTGTCACAGCAAACCAGGACAAGGAGCACCCAAAATTAGTAGTGATGGGCACTACACCCACCTATAGTGGTGTGTGTCTCTGTCAGTCTTTGTCTCTGTGTTTCTATAAGTCTCTCCTTGTTTTCTACGATCATTTATCTGACTCTGGTTGTTCCTTCTGGTAGGATGAAGTCTCTGGAGCAGGATGCACTGAAAGCTCAAATGGTCATCGCCAAGTCGCGGGACGGGAAGAAACGTGGCACACTAGACCAGCTGACGGAGTCGCCCTCACCTGCCCCCACACCCTCTCCCACACCTATGGAAGGTAGGAAGCGGCTTTTGTTGATGCCACTTGAAAGATGTTTGTCATGTAAACAGGCCTCAGTAATTATTTTGTCTTAATTTACTTATTTTAACAGCAGAAGCAGTTTCAGTGTTTAATAAGCGTTATTATACAGAACCACCACAGCCAGTTTCTAAAGTGTTACAAAATATAGTAACTTAAAGCTCGTCAGGTCAGCTAGTCTTGATGTTTCTAACTTCACATTGTCTGTTTTCCTCTGACAGAGCTCAGTCCTCGAGGACTAACCTCTCCAGGCAGGCTGGTAAGCACTACATCTTTTTCCTTTTTCTGAGTTCCTACTTTGGCTTTGACTGATTTTTCCACTGGCTGTGTCAGTGTGGACGGTTTACCGTATCCTTTGTACGGACTTGGAGAGCTTCAGTCATCACTGTTCAAATACTGGAACAAAGCTGTAACACTGACTGCAGTTTAATTTAAGGGGCTTTATTTGAGAAAGGCAAACTTCAAGATTGTTGGTTTACAAGTTGTGAAAGGGAAAGAGATTTTCTTCAAAACACATTGGCATTAATCCACCATCTTGCTCATTGTCACTCTAGCCAATCAGCCACAGCTGGCTGTTTGAATCACCCATTAGCCTCTCTGCCTCCCACCTCTCCTTCTATTTCCTCATCCCTTCTCCCCTTATTCCTTTTCCTCTCCTTTGACATTTACTTTCTCCACACTTTTCTTCTCCTTTCAATACTTTTTCCCACCCTCCTCCTCTTTTTCTTTCCTTGTTTTCCTCTTTTCCCTCCCCCCCTCGACCTCTGCTCATTCCTGTTTGCTATCCTTCTAGTCCCTGTCGTCAAAGAAGTTTGACTACCGACAGTTTGCTGCCATTCCTTCTTCCAAACCCGTATACGACATCCAGGTATTGGCTGCATGCTGAGCTCCCGGGGGCCCTGGCCTCCTCCCTTCCCCCTGGCTTTCCCTGCTGCCTCTCCCCTCTAGTTTCTCTCTGAATCAAGAGGCATCAGTGCAACTGTCTAGGTGTTTGGCTCAGTGATTGATCAGCACTTCCTGCTCTGCACTATAGTGGTGTGGCTCACTAACTCTCACTTGCACAAAGAAGGTAGACGTATCTACAGAAATGACACACCAAATCAGCACCTCGTGTTTCTGGCTCCCCCTTCCTGGTCTTCCACTTACCCACTCACAAATGTAAGAGCATCTATAGCAGTAACCATTCACACCCATCAATCTCTCAGCTGACTAATCAATCCCAGACAATAACACTGACAGACACATTTTTGATCCCACTAACCAGAATTGGTTCCGGGGGAAAATGGCCACAAACTCTGCATCTCATCCACTCTCACGTTCACTTCCATCAGCTGTCTTGTTCCACGCATGGGTCACACATCAGGCAGAGGAATAACATGTCCTCCATTAAGATGTCTCCTCATACTCTGGCTTTTAAAACACTGATCTGCTGAAGGGTTTCCTCCTGCGCTATCATTAGGGTAGACTGTTTGTGTAGGTTTGTGGGAATTAAGTTGGTTTCTTCTGTGTGGAAGAAGAGATTGGAGGGGAAGCAGGGGAATCCTGGAGTGGTGCTGGAGTGAGCAGAGCTTATCTGGAAGTGGTCTTTAATTTGTTTTGGGTCAAGTATCTGTGGTGGTCTGTGTCACTGTCAGTGTGTGCTCCTCTCAGTGTGGGATCTTGTCTGGTTTGGCTGTTGCTAAGTGACCTTGGCTTGTTTGTATTCTCCCTTTGGTGGATGTAATTTAATGGACATCATTGTAAGTGTTTGCATAAAGTTTCAGACTCTTGTATATGCACTGACCAAAGTTGTTAAGGGGCTGTGTTAATGTCAGTAAAGTGACTGTAACATACATATAAACACATAATAGGCAGACCAGAAGACTCGAGGGACCACCACAGTCTGCAAGGTGAGGGGTCACATGGTAAAACACTTATTATAAAACTATATACAAGATTTTTTCATGAATATTCTAGCAAACATAGGTTCAAGTTGCTAGTATTTACTTTCTATTTTTTGTATCACACAGTAAATAATTTCCCTTCACATTCCTCTCACCAGAAAGACAAACAACATTGTTGATAAAGTCTGTAGAAATATCAGATTATAAAGACACAGTTCAATGCCACTGTAGTAAAAACAACACATATTTTCTTTTATTCTTGAGGAAATTTGTCAATTGTGATATTTTGTCATTGCCAAACAAAGACCTAGTGTGTCCTATAACACTGAAATAGGTTGTACAGCCAGCAGTTAGTGCTAGGTAGGTCACATAATCCTCGGCTTACAGGTCATAGTGGTCCCTAAGTAAAATAACAGCTTCTCAGCACTGAACAGTGGGACGTTATTATTGGACTATAATGGCATCAGCACAAAGACAACTTAACATTCTGCTTGGTTTCCCGTTGTGCATTGGTGAATCTTGTTGGTGCCGTACTGTTGCCCCTGTTTGCTGTCTCTTTGTGGATGTGCCTACACTACACAACAAACCCCGGAACTGATGACCTAACTTAACCTCCCTTTCCTTTAACATGCCAATCTCTCCTGGGGGAGTAGTCGAGTAGTTGTACTCTGGCTTTAGTGGCAGATTGGGCGCTTCAGCGCTGTCCGCTAAAACCGGCAGTGAGTGGCTGGCACGTCTTCTCACAGTCTCCCTTGCTGCCAGTTCCCCTGCCCAAATGGTGAAGGCTTCCCCTGGGATACTGGTTACTGAAGCACCTCTGTCACTGTATTATTCACTGTCTCTTCTTGTCTTCCAGTCCCCTGACACAGTCGATGACATGCAGTTCATCGATGACGGCTCCAGCAACCCAGGTGAGTACTGCAGAGCTTCAGTATTTTAAACCGTATTAGAAAAGGCTTTGTGAAAGGGACGAGTGAGAAGATTTTATTACTTTAATTTCTTCTATCCCCTTTGATTCAGGTGACTACCTGGGATAAGCATCTCTTATTGGTAGGATCCTGCGTGCATGTGTTTTTGGGTCTGTGTGTGATTGTACGTATTTATGGGAGAAGAGTGTGTGTTGGTGTGTGCATTTATACTCTAACCTGCCAGCTGTGTGGCAAACTGTGACTTAACTGTTGGTTCAGATATTAAGAGGGGTTTGTCTAGCTGGGTGTGCTTCGCCTGCTGCTGCCCACCACCACATATGAAGCAGCAACTGATGTTGAGAAAACAGAAGACAAATGTTCCCTATACTAATAATCTCACACTAACTGTAATCCAGTCTATGCATGAATGTGTTTTAAAGCGTTGACTGACGTCTACAAGGAACTCTAAGTGAAAGAAACTAAGTTACACAGGTACTGGGAAATGTAGTTACTTGCACTGTAGTAGCGGTGCAGTATGCTGCATTTTTAAAGAGACGTTTTAGGGAGCGTGTAGCTTTTACTTATTATCCAAATGTGTCTGAATGTTTAAATTGAAGGTTCAGCAGTGGAAACACTTTTGCTCTGACTTTGGATGTAATTATTTTGAATACAAGGATGGATGGCTACATATAATTGTCTCCTTTCATCCACCTGCTCTGTTGGCACAGCGATACTTTCTCTGCCTGAAGTCTTTATCCTGCACATGTCAAATGCCAATTAGAAACCCAGTTTAGAGTCCATTGAGGTCACTGGGTGCTTCAGAGTCCTGCTTGTTTCCAGCTGCTGATTTAAATGTGGGGCTTCTCTCGCAGGTGTAAGGGGGTTCATCCACTTTCTCCTCCGTCAAATGCTCCACAGCTACTGTTGCAGAGTGCTTGTCAAGTAAAAAAAAGCTTAGAAGAAGCTTAGATGTATTTGTGACGTTGTTCTGTCTGTTTTTGTGGTCTAGGGCCCGCTGCAACCCCTGAGGCCGAGGTACCCACCGCGCTGCCTGCCACCTCAGCCCTGGAGGAGATGGCTCTGTACAGCAACAAGCGCAAACTGAGGCAGGGCCGCCGCAGCCTGGAAACCGCCGTGCCCACGTAACACCTCACTCGGAGAGAAGAAATCCGAAGACAAAAATGCGAACACACACATTAAAATACACTGTGGAACACTGGTAACGCGTGGGCACGTCCACAGGAGGTGCAGAGTCACTAAACACTACACAGTGTCAGTAGAGCGAGATTTACTCTCCTATATATAACCACTGCAGAGACTACGATAGTCACCACCCATACACACTCACATATATCCTGCGTGCCAGTCTTGCCTATACAGTCTGTGGATGAGTCGGCAAGTTGCTCAACAGTCCCTCAAGGGCAGGAAAGAGCTAGTGTGGTTAGCTAGGATTGCTACTTACAGACCATTCTTCTTTTTGTTGTTCCGCACTCGGTTTACCTAGTAGAAGCTGATCTATTTTAAAAAAAGGAGGTGACCGAAGTTTTTAGTTTTTTTAATTTTCTGCACCTCTAAATGATTTTGCTGTAAAAAAAAAAAAAAAGAAAAAAAAAAAAAACATACTGGAAGAGAAAAGAAATGGGTCATAGCTATACTAACAATATTTTTAGGCTTTCAGTGAACAGATTGTGAAATGTCGGGTTTCTTGAGACTTGGGCGGACAGGAGTGTATATATTATTGAGGAGGGAACATGCTGCTACCTTCACAGTCACAAGAGAGCTTTTTAAAAAAAAAAAAAAGAAAATCCATATCTTTTTGCACTGCCACTGATCAGCTTTTTTTTAGAACATATCTTAAGTAATTTATTGTTTTTAATCCATTTATTCAAATTGAAGGCCTTCTATTTTACACTGTTTTAACCCATCCAGTCCTTATCATTAAAAACATTTCAATGGTAGTTGAGGGTCACTAAGTCTTTCAGCTAATAACTGCATATCACTTTATATCATTGACTCTACTTTATACACACTTATAAATTCCCCCAGGGGGTTTTTGAGAGGAGCAAATACACAACTTGGATTGCTTAGACAAAGTATAGCTGTTGCACATTGGACTTGTAAAGAGAATCTGTCCAGATTTATTGACTGTGTTACATTCCCCTTGTAGAGAATAAGACAACACTGGAGGCAGCAGCTTTACAGATAAACTGTTCTGAATATTAAAGTTTGGCATTTTAGCGTAATTTACTAATTAACGGTACTTACCCTGTCCTGTTTAGGGTATTGTTTTTTTATTTTATCAATGTGAATCATTAATATCTATCCTTGAATTTTCTGGAGGTACTCCAGAGTGACGTGAAGGTAGCAGGTGTTTTTATTTTTCTGTCTATGGTTAATTTAAATCTGATGCCACTGAAAAATCATTTATTATTGTGTGAATAATGTACAAATGCTGAAAGGAAAGCAAACTTTGGGTTTAGAAACTGAGCCAGTCTTGACCTAGACCAAGCGAGTGTCTGGACTGCTGACGCGTCTGGGTTTGGACGGTGCCTGGTATCGGGACGCTCTCTGCATGTATATTGGTTTGTTAATGGGAGAGCTGAAAGAGGCAGAACCGATTAGAAATCCCTCTCAAGACATTGATCTCATTCATTCAGTTCACTGCTCGACATACCGTCAGTTTATGTATCTGATGGGTATTTTTGCAGAATCACAGCATAGTAGCATTTGTGTTAATTTAATGTAGGGTCTTCTAATGATAGCTTTCCATGTTGCTCTCACTGACTGAAATTCAGTTTGTTTGATAACATTTGCAATGGCTGATATTTCCTTTTTTAAACTTACAATAGGTAAATCTTTTTTTCAGATGGGTTTCACTACATTATTAATGCAGTGTTTCAAGTTTTTGTGTTTATTCTTTTGTCTTGAGTTCTCTTTGGGGGTTTTTTTTTCTTCTTCTTGCAAATAGGTCTGAGGGAAAGGGTCAGAAGTCCTAGGGTCAAGGGTTAGAGCTCATACAAGACTGTAACTAGTGAATTTGTACAACCAAAGAAGTCTATTTTGTGGTTCAGGAATAATAAATTTTACTTTTCATTTAAGAAGCTGATTCATTGTGTTGTGTCTTTTGTGCTTAATATACAGACCACAATGCTCCAAAGATGACACGTAGAAAAAATGAAAATTACATTTCATCACATTTAGCACATGTGGACAGTTCGGTCTGTACATAAAACTCACTTAGGTAACAGGTAGTATTGGAGGAAGTCTTCTCTGTCCTGACGAGTTCCTCTGCACTGGAGTAAAGACCAGCGCCCTGCTGTTCCTCTGTAGACACAGAACAGAGTATTGATTCTGTATCTCTGATTAACCATAGTTAATTAGAACTAGGTCAGTGATTGGTGTGGTGACATAACCAAAGTATAAGATCTTTACCACCAATTACTCCATGTTATCTGATAAAATAAGCAGTTCACTGGATGTAAAACAGGATGCGACACCCACCCTTTTCAGCGTTCTGTAGCGAGCGTTGTAGAAGGACTCGGAGCTGGGGTTGTGAGGAGGAAGCTGCTCATCTGCATCCTCCTAACATCAGCAGGTAAATAGTTAATACCTCCTTAATAAAAATGTGGTCGCAACATTTCCAACAAATGTCAAACAAAAATGGTTTCCATTGCTCGCAGCTGAGTGGGAGTCAAAGATTTGTTTTATGGAAAACGATACAGAATCAATATTTGTACTGTTGTAAATGTGAGGCACACTCACTTCTGTGAGGGTCTTCTCTGTCGTTACGTCCAGCTCCTCCTCAGGTACCAGGAAAGACTTCTTATACCAGTTCTCAAATTCTGTGACATACACGAGCAATTGATTATTTCCTCTGAGCGTTGTAAAGGAGCCAGTTGTTTGAGCTACAATAGCTCTAAGCTGTTTCAGGGAAGAAGTAGATATTTGGAGAACTGACCAGAGAGCAGGCGCACCCGGCACTGATCCACAAGGTGTTGACAGTAGTTGACTTCTGCCTTGATGTCACCCAGCACATCGTATCTCTGCCGGTACCGGGCCTTCAGCTCTCTGAGCTTCTTCAATAAAGTGGCATCTGGCTCCTGCAGCTGTGGCTCCCCCTCCATAACCAAATACTGACCTTCATACACAAAACACACCATGAAAAAAATATATTAACCTCTTAAATCTCACAGGCCTTTTGTCCGGACCGTCAATACAAACCTTCTTCAGACCAGTTTGAACTGTTAAAACACAAAAAATTTAGTCAAAGGATTTTTGGACACGTTTGCACGTGTCAAAACAATCTCAGGTTCACTTACTAGCTTTTACTGAGCTTTTAACCACCTGTTACATGACAGCAAATGGTCGACCACTTGTTTTCACGTGATTTAAGTTCTACATAGCGCCACTGCTAAAAGCTGTGAGCTATGGTTGGCATTTGTGGCAGAAAAAGCAGTTCCTCTCACCAGCTGATATTCCACTTGTAACAAGTACTTGAACAAGAAATGCCTCACCTTAGGGAAGGCTCCATTTCATGGGAACTTTAAGAGCAGCAATCCACAAATTAAAGCATCTACCACTTCCCTTAAGTGTTTTCTTGATGATACAAACATTAGGAGTACCTTGGTCTCTTCTCAGCTCCTTGTGCTGCTGTATGGTGGCTGTGGTGCAGTCGATCTCTCTCTTGACAGCGTTGACCTCATCAGTGAGCTTTCGAAGAAGAGTGCGACGTTCCAGCAGCACGGCTTTGTTCTCCTTAAGGATGCAGTTTATTTTGCTGCCCTGTCCCACCTTAAAAACCTCAAAGGCCTCTTCTTTGGGCGGAGGAGAGCTGGGCAGCAAAGGCAAGTATTTCAGTGGAAAGAATATAAAACAACCCGACACACATTTCCTTTACAGGGCTACTAAAGATGACTATATTCATATTAAACTCATACCCAGGGTTGAAGGGTTCATTGCCAGGCGGTTGTGATTCCTGTGTGTCCTGGCTCTCTGTGTCTGGTTCTGGTAACTCCTGTTCCTTCTCAGGTGTCTGGACAGAATTCAGCTTTGATTTGGAGGCACTCTCTGAACGCTTCCTTGTAACTGGACTCCCAGCTCTCTGTGTCTTATTTTGGCTGGATAGTCACATTGAGTGAGCCATTAGGAAAACCATTTAAAAACACTGAATATCAGCACAAGTGACTGGCTTCAGTCGAAAAGGTTCTCTCACCTCGGTTTTTCCCTAGATTTCTTGGTTTTGGCTTTGGTCGAACTTGGCCGGTTGGCATTTTTTGGTAACTGACCAGCCCCCCCAAGGCTGCCAGCCTCCACATCCTCAGTGCTTCCTGTGGTATCCCACTCCTAACAAAGTGGGAACAAACCAGCATCTAATCAAAGCTTAGTCACAATGAATTTTTCACTAAACAAGTCGTCACTGATTTGACAAATAGATCTATAACTGCTAGTTTCCCTTAACCGTGAATCAGATGTTGACTGACCTTGATAGCAGCTGTGTTGGCACCTTGGTCTTTCTCCATCAAGTTGAAGGTCTGGCATAACTGAGCCTTCACTTTCTGCTCCTGTTCCCTGCTCGCACACGCACACGCACACACACACACACACACACACACACGCACACGCACACACTCACCATTAACAAATAAACCCTGGTTCTAAGTTTAGTCTATATAAACTTTGCATTCTGAAGTTGCAGATTTCAAAAAGGTAACTAATACTCACTGCACAGCAAGCTTGAACTGGGCGAACACTGCTTGGACCTGGTTGATACTGACGATCTGTTATTAGAGGCAAGAGACAAATTTAAAGCCTTTAAAAGGACAATCACAAGTTTCAATAACTGTGCTCTTGGTTATATTCTCACACTGATTTCCTCCAGGCTTCCCTCTAGGTATCTCTGAACCTGGTTGTTGATCTCAGCCAGCTGTGCTTCAGACAACGACTCGTACGAGATGCTTGGCCGGTTCGCCTGGTGAAGGGTCAATGATAGGCTTTTAAATTCTGATATGAACCAGCTGAAATGTGTTAAAATAAACGTTCTTTTCCCTTTTTTTTAAATAAAAACTGTCATGGAAAGTTTAGAATTTGCTCCTGCAGATGAGCAACACATTGAAAACACATTATAAAGGAAATGTGTTTTCCTGTCAGCTCTACTCACCAATTTATTGCAGATGGACAGTTCTTCTTTCAGCCTCTGTATATCCTTCTGAAGTTTTTTTATATGAGCCTAATCACAACAGTACATTTCATGATTATTACTCACTGACAGAGAGTAAAACACAATGTAGACTGTAAATAATACAACAATAGTTCCTCCAACGGTGTCATATTATGCGCTGTGCGTAATATCATGTGAACTCACTGCTGGATCCATGTGTTCATTCACAGCAGGGTCAGTCCGGACACACCTCATTCTGCTGGCAAAACGCAGAGTAGAAAGCTGCAAAGAATATTAGTTATCATCCAGAGCTGAAATGCCACCATGTGCAGTAAAAAAGAAAACTGCTTTCTGTTTTAGATCATATGTTCCACTCCTTACTGTTTCTTCTATCTGTGCAGCCTCACCATAGATGTTGGCCACAAGCACAGTGTTGCAGTTCCCCCCTACAGAAACAGACAGGATGTCTCACTACAGAGCAAAGGACCACTTAGACTATCAAATATCAGCGTTGTTAAAAAGACAGAGGCCTGGCAGTCTCACCCAGGGAGTCTTTGAGGGCATGTGTGAGTTTACTCTGTCTGAAGGGAACGTGGTCTCTGCGACGGTCTGCCAGGGCCAGGATGGCCTGCTCCAGGAACGACAAGGACTTGTTGATGTAGACGGCTTCCTTTAACATCTGACCCTCTGACTGGAAGCAGAGGAAGGTGACAAGAAGTGGATGAAGGTTAAAAAGGACCAGTGTGTGTCCCTCGCTTCACCCTCCCCTTCCAAGTTTGATGGAGAAATTACGGTGGCCACGAAAAATGTCAATAGCCCCCATCTAGAGCCAGTGTTTGATTAGTCTGGTCTGGGTTACTCTACAAACATGGCAGCCTCCATTTAAAGTGACCCTCGGCTTCTGCAGATATAAAAGTCTCATTTTAAAGGTAGAAATTCTTATTTTCAGGTGATTATACACATATTATATTCCATTTATGACAATAGATCCTCCTAAATGTTACACACTTTATAAGTGGCGATATTGCTACTGGACGATCAACAAATTCAAAAAGGAACTTCTTATATAACCAGCCACATAGCAATAGAGAGAATGGTACCAACGTCCCACCTGGATGAGGTCTAAGTGAAAGAACATGTTTCGAAAGCAGTAAAGTCAAGTGAGACATTCTCAACCTCACCCCAGTCTTCCCCAGCCTCTCTGACCCAGCCAAATCCACCAGATTCAGCTTGGAGGTGATGTATTTGGCGTCAGACAGGGTGCGTGAGCGGGACTGTGAATGAGAAAGTCATTTTATACTACTTCATATTGTGTGCATTAAAAAGGTATGTTTAAGCACCAAGAACAGGAAACACTACAGTCAACTATAAAGGTAACTGAACTCATACCTCTATATGCACAGTGAAGATACAGTGGGACCTGGAGGAGTTCCTGTTCAAGGCATGAGATCCAATAATGCGATTCATCTCACCCTGAGTAAAGAAAGAACAGCTTTATAAAAAGGTTCAGCTTTCTATTTATTCATCCCTAAAAATTACTGAAAGAACAATAGAATTTAAATGGGTATAAAATAAAAACCATGGATGAAAAACAAACAATATATTTCACAATACAGACGCAAAAAACATTCAACAGCAGCACAAACGCATAAAAAATTATTAAAATTAAATTTAAATAGTGAGGGATGAGACAACAATAGGTTGTCTGCCACATGAGCAGGGGACCCTCAGCAATATATAAAATAAAAGATGATACTGGCCCTTTGAAAGCAATGATTAATTTTTTTCTGGTCATATAAATTTAATCATGACTAAACTTATTTCTTACTTTCTTTCTTATTACACACACGCATACCTCAAACAGGAGGTTGAGGGCCTCCTCCTCACTGTGGACGAGGTGAAGAGACAGACCTCTGATGAACACCCCTCTGCCGGGCTCCTCCATCACCACCATACTATGAGGAGACGGGTGTGGCGAGCATCGCCGAGGTGACAGCAGGTCCACCAGGGTCTCATTGTAGATCTCCAAGTAAGACAGGTACACAGAGAAGGCATGCTCGGTCCTCTTCTCCACCTCCTGAAACACCTGAATACCGTGTTGGAAAAGATAAATTATATTTACTAAAGTGGAGCAGTCTGGGTGTTTTTCGGAGGTTAACAATAAATAATAATTTAACATAATGATTGAGTGACTCACCTCCTGAAGGGCCCGAGGAATGATGCCTCTCTGCTTGTATGACTCTGTGGATCCTGTGATGGTGTAGGTCTTTCCTG